GGGGCGCCCGGCTCCTCGGGCGCACGTCTGGCCGCCTGGCTGCAGCCGGAGTCGCGCCTGGATCCCAATAAGTGAGTAACTGTCTATAAATAATCCCAAAAAAACCAACTAATTCGACACATACTGCCCGATCCTTTCTCAGATGCGAGCTGAACACGATAACGGAGCCGCTGCGCTATGGCTGGCCCACCCAGGTGACGGTGACGATCCGGGATCAGTATGGCGATGCTGTGCTGGTGCCGGAGCTGAAGGTGGAGATAAAGGCCATACCGACGGGCCCGGACCGCAGCGGCGGCGGCGGCGGCGGACTGGGCGGCAATCAGAAGATGCGACGCACCTCCTATGCGGACGAGGGCGCCAATGCGAACGGACACGGTCTGGGCGCTCAGCTGGGCGGCATGGCGCCGCCGCCGCGTCTCAACTATGAGGCGACCACCAAGGAGAAGATGTGCTTCAAGGCGATCACATTCATGAAGCCCTACACAAACTATTCGTTCGAGGAGCTGCGCTTCAGCAGCCCCATCCAGACGCGCACCACCGAAGCGCTCAATGCCCAGGACATGGAGGATGGCACCTTCAGCGTGCACTGGACGCCCAATTCTGTCGGCGGCTATTGTCTGGCCGTCACCATCGATGGCATACCACTCGAGGAGGTCTATCGCGTCGAGGTCAAGGAGGGCATGCTGCCGCCGCCGACGCAGCGCTCTAGTGCGACACGTCGGCCGCAGGCGCCGAGCAAGCTGCGTCGCTTTCAGGCGCAGCACAGCGCCGGGCTGCGCATACGCTCACATCCCACGCTGCAGTCCGAGCAGGTGGGCGTGGTGCGGCTGGGCGGCATCATATCGTTCATTGACGAGATCGAAAACGACGACGGCATCTGGCTGCGTCTCTCGACCGAATCCATACGCCAGCACTGCACTATGGGCTGGTATCCGACGGAGGCCTGGTGCCTGCAATTCAATCAGCATCTGACACGCACCCTGCTCCAGCCGGTCAGCGATGCCACAGCACCGGCCAAGTCCGGCAGGTGCGCAAAGTCCGGCACAGACACGGCGGAGGCGCCGCCGGCCAGTCCCAGCGGCAGCAATGCGGACAGCCCCAGCAGTCCCGGACGCAGGCACAGCAAATCGCCGACAGAGCGCAAAATCTTTGAGCCCGTCATCGCGTCCAGCAGCAGCAGCTGCTCAACAAATCCCTTTCTGCTGCCCGCCAAATCCAACGAGCAGCTCGACGCGGACAGCACGCTGGCCTCGGCCACGACCGAGCTGCTGCCGGCCAATCTGGGCTCGGCGCTGGCGGGCGTTGTGGGCGGCGGCGCCATCAAGCTGCAGGCGCTGCAAAAGTGGTTCAAGGGCGATGCCGGCGACGCAACCGCCACGGATGCCAGCAGCCAGCCAGCCAGTCAGGCGGGCACATCGCCGCCGCTGGCCGCCGTCTCCGTGCGCGAGCTGGTCCGTGTTATGGGCGGCCCGGAGACAACGACGCCGCCGATGCGCGGCAATGGCAACTGTCGCGAACAGGAGCCAGGCGCAGCGGATGCTGGTGGCGCCGACTTTGATATAGCCAGCGTGCGGCGCATGAACTTCACGGCCAGCCAAACGGCGGCGCTGCTGTCGACGCCCAAGCATACGCCGCGGCGTGCCGCCCAGCCGGCCGCCAGCGAGGCGGAGCAGCAGCAGCAGCTGGCCCAGCTGGAGGATGAGCTGAGCGTTCTGCAAATAACGACAACAACAAACGAGGCCAGCGAGACGCAAAGTGAGCTGCAAATTGGCGGCACAGATGCCGCCAATCCAGCGGCCACGTGCTCGAGACGCAACCATGCAATGGGCCCCATTAAGCGTGCAATGCCGCCCTCCTTTGCCGAGAGCATACGTGCGGTCTTTGCCGCACTGCTCTGGCACGAGGGTGTCGTCCATGATGCCATGGCCTGTGCCAGTTTCCTCAAATTTCATCCCGGCCTGCCCAAGGAGGGCGCCACGGTGGTGACGCGTCGCGATCCGAACGATGCCCGGCTGCAGCTGTCCCGCGAACAGAAGGCCCAACAGCGACATTCGGTGGAGGTGGCCAATGCCGGACACTATCTCAATATACGTCCCTCGACGCTCGAAACGCTAGCCAAGAGCGGCAATTGCTCGCTGCACAATCGCAGCAAGCATCGCAAGGCAGCCGCCGTTTCCGCTTCTGGAGAGGATCAGCAGCAGCAGCAGCAGCAGCTGCAGCCGTTGCCGGAGCTGGTGAGCGTGTTGCCGCCGGCTCTGCGCTGTCTGGTTTATCTCTGGGAGCAGATCTGTGCCGGCTGCGTGCACATTGTCCAGACGAATGCGCTCGAGCAGCGTGAGCCGCGTCTGTTGTCGCCGAACGGTGCTCGGGATGGTGATACGGATGCCAAGGGCGATGGCAAGGGTAACGGTGATTTGGGCGGCGACAGCAAGGATCCCAGCAAGAAGGGTAAACGCAAGAAAAAGGACGACGGCAGCTGGTGCGAAATCTGCGAACTATTTCTGCCCATGCCCGTCACATATCATATGCGCATCGCCCATCCCGGCTGCGGCAAATCCGCCAAGGGCAAGGGCTACAATTCCGTGGGCATCTTCTGCGAGGGCTGGGCCGGCAATTGCGGCGAGGGCGGCAAAGGCGCCTCCAGCTGGTTCCTCATGTGCGACGCCTGCCGCGACAAATATCTGGCGAGCAGTCGCAGCGCCAACAATGTTAACGCCGCCGCACAACAAGCCGCCAATGCAGGTGAGTGAAGGCGTGAATTCGATAAGGTTTTCTTTTTTGCCAATTCTCTTTTGTGCGGCATTCGTAAACGTTTTCGTCTGATCAGTCAGTCGGTTAAACAATCGCGGTCAATCAGTTAATCAATCAGCCAGACAATCTGTATGTCAATCAGTCAATCAAACAGCTAGTCAGTCAGCCAATCAATCATTTAGTCAATCAATCCGTCAGCCAGTCAATCTGTCTGTCAATCAGTCACTCGTTTAGTCAGTCAATCAGTTAGTCAGGCAATCATTTAGCCAGTCAATCTGTCTGTCAATCAGTTAATCAAACAGTCAGTCAGTCAGCCAATCAATCATCAGTCAATCAAACAGTCAGTCAGTCAGCCAATCAATCATTTAGTCAATCAATCCGTCAGCCAGACAATATGTCTATCAATCAGTCTCTCGTTTAGTCAGTCAATCAGTTAGTCAGGCAATCATTTAGCCAGTCAATCTGTCTGTCAATCAGTCAATCAAACAGTCAGTTAGCCAATCAATCATTTAGTCAATCAATCCGTCAGCCAGTCAATCTGTCTGTCAATCAGTCATCCGATCAGTCAATCAGTCTCTCGTTTAGTCAGTCAATCAGTTAGTCAGGCAATCATTTAGCCAGTCAATCTGTATGTCAATCAGTCAATCAAACAGTCAGTCAGTCAGCCAATCAATCATTAAGTCAATCAATCCGTCAGCCAGTCAATCTGTCTGTTAATCAGTCATCCGATCAGTCAATCAGTCTCTCGTTTATTCAGTCAATCAGTTAGTCAGGCAATCATTTAGCCAGTCAATCTGTCTGTCAATCAGTCAATCAAACAGTCAGTTAGCCAATCAATCATTTAGTCAATCAATCCGTCAGCCAGTCAATCTGTCTGTCAATCAGTCACTCGTTTAGTCAGTCAATCAGTTAGTCAGGCAATCATTTAGCCAGTCAATCTGTCTATCAATCAGTCAATCAAACAGTCAGTCAGTCAGCCAATTAATCATTTAGTCAATCAATCCGTCAGCCAGTCAATCTGTCTGTCAATCAGTCATCCGATCAGTCAATCAGTCTCTCGTTTAGTCAGTCAATCAGTTAGTCAGGCAATCATATATCCAGTCAATCTGTCTGTCAATCACTCAGATAGTCAGTCAATCACACAATTAGTCTGTCAATCAATCAGTAAGTCCGTCAGTCAGTCAATCTATCTGTCAATCAGCTTGTCAGTCAGTATAAACACTTTTATAGTAATCGTGGTTGTACTCATATTGAAAAGGTTGCGCTAAGGCCTTGAAAATACTTATGTGTATTTCACAATAGTATTATTTATGGAAGTTCCTCTATTTCCGACGATAGTCTTGACGCACAGTCAATCAAGAATACGTTGACCATTATTAAGTTAATTTTATACTTTTTTCGGCTTCTGATTTATAAGTCCAATAATAGGTACACAAGATTCCTTATCAATTGATAATTTTAATGCCACCAACAACGTTATACAAAAAACGTGACGTTAAACTAGCTGAATCATATTGACGAGCTACCTGGTAAAACGTTACGTGTATCAAGAAAACAGAAAGGGAGTTGTTTAATGGGTCATGAACGAAAAATCTCAAGATCCTTTAGGCTCTATAGAGCTTATACAATGTTAAAGAATCCATGATTAATGGAAAATGCATTTAAGTAAAATGTTTGAGTGCAAGACTCTCAAGTCGCGTTCCATTTCATTTGATTGTATTCCCATTTTTGTCGCCTCTCCAAAATGAACGCCTCATAAGTCCAGCTATAACTCGGCTGGTGCGGGATTTATTTAAAGAGTTGAACATTCTCGGCTTGTGTATGCCAAGCGAGAGTCTGCATACCAAATTTGGTGTGCCTGGCTCTTAAAATTCTCGAGCTATCCATATCGATTCTTAGCGATATCAAGGTTTTTTCTTTGGAGTTTTACAGCGGCAATTTCTTATGATCCTTATTGAAGTAACATTGTGTTTTGTTCTGTTTTGCAGCTGCGGAATTGAATTTGTTTGGCGTGAAGACAACCACGCTGATCGCCAACTCGGAGGTCTATACCACCATGCGTGAGAATGCGACATTTTTGCTGGAGCTGTGCTCATCCTCCGCCTCCTCCACGGGCAGCCTGCAGCCGAACGCAATCGTGGGCAGCCAGAAGCGATCGCCCCAGCAGCAACAGCAGCAGCAGCAACAGCAACAGTCGATGGCCATGCCGGTTGTGGTAGAGCATCAGCATTTGGGCATGCCCGATCTGAATCTGAGCAGCAAGCCGAGCACCAGTCGCGCCGACTCGGCGCGCAACAGTCGCATCGGACGGCTGAGCGGCAAGTTTACGGCATTTCGGAAAAGTTTTGTGGGCGTGCCGCCGGCAACGCCGGACAATGTTTGGCTGGCGCCCGATAGCTTTGCCTGTTTCGAGTGCCTCGGCACCGGCGTCCACGAGGATTTGCCCTACGAGATGTTTGGCCTGGGCGCCAATGCCAATGAGAACGGCTACGATCGGGTGAGTCAGGGCAAAACGCCTAGGTTAATTTGTAATACCCTGTAGCTAAATGGCTAAAGAAAGGGGCATATTGGTTTGGTGCAAATTGTATGTAACAGCCAGAAGGAAGCGTCTCTCCGAGCCCGTAAACTATATAGATTCTTGGCTCAGCATCAATAGTCGGGTCGTCCGTCTGTCCGTTCAAAATTCCGTAAAGATCGGACAATAGAGGCCGAAGTAAATCGGGCAAGAAAGAAGCAACAAGGGAGTGGAAGTCAGACGATGTCCGTCCATAAAATTCCATAATGATCAGACAATGGAGACCGAAGAGTAAACCACGAAAGCATTTCCTTCAGCTTGGGGCTAAAGGAAGAAGCAGCTAGGGGAAAGAAGCTAGAATTATTTCTGGGGCGGCAACTCGACGCGGGTTCTCTCTGATCTGCTGCTTTCTGCTACCCGGTCAAAGCCGGGTAATTTCCATCACTCAGAAACGTTATTTAATCTGGAAATTTTATGTTTTGCGCAGCCCCTGTCGGAGATCTCGTACGAGTCGTGTGAGCCGAACAACTATGAATTGATGTCCGGCTCTTTGGCAAATCCGACCTCCACTGGCGGCACCTTGTCCAAATTCCATCGCAGCTACTCAATGGGCCAGGGCTGGGCAGCTGTTGCACAACAACAGCAGCAGCAGCAGCAGCAGCAACAGCCGCAACTGCAGCTGCAGTTGCAGCATCATCAACAGCTCCAACTGCAGCAGCAGCCCTCGGTGGTCGCATTGCCGCTGGATGCACAACCGAAGGTTGTCTATCGGCGGCGCAACAATTCGACCAGCGAGGGTGACGGCTCGCTGCTCATCTGCTATCCGTCGGAGCATCTGCGTCGCCTGGTGCCCCCGAAGCTTTTGGCCAGCGTCGCCGTGCTGCCGCATGCTCCCAACAATGCCAACGATACGCTAACCAAGCCCAATCCGGCCGAGAGCAAGGATCAGCCGAAATCGCAACCGCCGCAACCGCTGCCGCTGCCGCCACCGCCGGCGCCGGTTAGTCCGCTGCCGGAACAGAATAACGCGCTGCTCAGTCGACCCGCAATGGCGTTCATCACACAGAAACACGAACTGGATCGGCTGCGCGGCGCAATGCGACGCAGTCTACGGATCGCCGCCTGCCGCATCTATGCCCTGCAGGCGCTCAACTGGCTGCTGCGCAGCGTGACGCAGGGCGTTTGCCTGCACGATCTGATGTGGTGGTTCGTCAGCTCGCTGGCGCTGGGCAGCTCCGAGCTGGTCGATGGCAAGTATGAGGAGGCGGAACCGGCACTGGAGCATCCGGCTGCCTATACACAGATCAGCGGACGTTTCGCACATCTAATAACCCAGTCGCTGCATGTCCTGCTCCAATCGGTGGCAGATCTGACGCTACATTTGCCGCTGGGCTCGCCGCTGCAGCGTGTGGCCATCCAGTGCTTTGGCATACGCTTCCGGCAGGCGGATCATCAGTTTCTGCACAGCTCGCATGTCTTTGGCAACATCTCAAAGATATTGTCCAAATCGGATGAGCAAAACGATGCCATGGCCGTTTCCACATTGCTGGCCGCCACCGGCGAAACGCATTGCGATGCGGAGCATAATATTGCCAGCGCTAGCAATCAGCTGGCCGCTGGCAGTGTGCCCGGCGCCCGGGTCATCTGCTATACGGATCTGTCGGGCATGTTCGAGGTGACGGTCTCCTCACGGCCGGCCATGGCCGAATCCCTGACGGACAACTCAACGGAAACATTCTGGGAGAGCGACGAGGAGGATCGCAACAAGTGCAAAATTATCGAGCTATCCATGAACAAACTCAGCTATGCCTGCAAATTTGTGCTCGTCCACATCGACAACAGCCGCGACATTCAGGTGGGTAAATACCAAGACATCGCATTTCCTTTCATTTCTTAGTCTTAGTTCCAAGTCAGCTCCTTCTAGAGCTTTCCAATGGTAGTTCAGTGACAAGCTTAACTGTACCGATAGGTATTAGTATTAGTAAGGAGTACTCTTTGGCGGTATATGCGATCGTTATTTAAGGCACTTGACTTGCATATAAAGTATTTTCTTTGGCACCCTGTATTGCGCTAGCTCGGTAGGGCCCTGTCTGTGCAGCAGGGTGCAGCTTAAGGTAGTAGACACATGCTCTTCTAAGTAGAAATGCTTCTACCGTATTTATTTAGTGTTTATGGTACCGAATATCTCCTTGATAATATAATAACTTGATCGAATGTCTCTCTTTTCCAATAATTTCAAATGTGATTATGGTGTTTGACAGTAGAGTATTGCACTGTGGAGGGAGGTATACTTTAGTCAGTGACAGAAACTGGTATCAATACTCTTTGAAGTGAACACTTTTAAAAGTATTCATAATTTTGTTGCCAAAATAATAAGGTGCTGATTAAGACCCGGTGTGGCACTTCGTTGTTATATAACTGCCGCTTGCAGTCGGGTACCCACTTGTCACAGAAAGTGCACTACCGGCAACTTTCTAGTTATTTTACGTAAAGGTGCAGTCGGGTAGCCAGTCTTTAAATGCCTGGTAGTGTACTACTTTGTCAGTAAAAGCTTGGAACCACTTCAGCGTCCCGGTAGTGCTCTACTTTGTGATTTGACGAAAAGTTGCAGTTGGGTACCCACTTTTCCGGTAGTGCACTTTATTTGTTTTTAACATGCAATTGAAGCCGGGCATCCTCCTTTCAGAAATCGGGTAGTGTTCTACTTTGTCCTTGAGTTGGGTATCCACCTTTCAGAGTCTCTGTAGTACACTTTATCAATCATTAACATACAATTGAAGCCGAGTACCCACTTATCAGAGTAGATAGAGCAGTATTTTGTCAATTGACGAACGAAAAATCACGCAGAATTAAGCATATCAAAAACTTTCTGCTTAATCTCAACAGAACAAGGTGCTGAATGTGGTATTCTATGCGGGCCAGTCGCTGGGCGACACGAATCTCATCAAGACAGTGGACGTGGACCAGAAGGCGTGCGTGTGGATTGCGGCCAAGATCAGCGACGAGACCTGCACGCACTTTCGACTGGAACTGCACGGCCCGGAGAATACGCTGCGTGTGCGTCAAATCAAGCTGCTCGGTCTGCCCAGCTGTCAGGTGGGCGCCGTTCACGAGGAGCCGCCATCAGTCGAGCAGCGGGCCAATGTGCGTTTGGCGCACGCGGCGCGCATCCAACAGCAAATCTGTGAGGCGGAAACGTTGCGCGTTTTCCGTCTAATAACCGGCCAGGTATTCGGCAAGCTGATCAGCAATGTAAGCGATGCGGTGACAGCAACTGGCGCAGCCACATCGGAGGCAGCCAACTCAATGCTGGCGGATTCGCTGGATCTGCGCGAACATATGGTTGGCATTCTGTTCTCGCGCAGCAAGCTGTCGCATCTGCAGAAGCAGGTGATTGTGCACATTGTGCACGCCATCAAGAAGGAGGCGCAGCGCGCCAAGGAGGACTGGGAGCTGGCCAATTTGGCCCATGTGCTCAAACAGCAGCCGCCTCCTCCGCCAGCAGCAGCAGCAGGAGCAGGAGCTGCGGGCGGATCAGCTGCGGCCACGTCCAGCGAGAGCAGCTCGGAGCGCAGCCGCGCACCGGACACCTATTGCTTCGAGATGCTCAGCATGGTGCTGGCCCTGTCCGGCAGCGTTGTGGGTCGCTCGTATCTATCGCAGCAGCACGGTCTGCTGCGCGATCTGTTGGGCCTGCTGCATACGGGCAGCGATCGGGTGCAGCGGCAGGTGACGGCGCTGCTGCGTCGCATTCTGCCGGAAATTACGCCGGAGAGCTTTGCGGATCTGCTGGGCGTGCAGCGTTTGCCGCCGGCCGATTATAGCATTGCGCATCAGAGCGCCAGCGATTTTGACATGAGTCGTTTGGGCTTGTTGGACATCTTTTTGGCCGTCATTGCCAAGTCGCTGCAGCTGCAGGTCAAGGTCAAGACCAACACAGCAAATGCAGCTGGCGGCGTCGGTGGGGGCGTGCCTGCGTCCAGCGTTAAGTCTGGGCAGCTGGAGAAGACGCCCGCATTTGTGCGGCTGTGCAGCTCCCTGGATCTGTCCGTGCAGCTGTTGCGCTCACGTCCAACCACAGCGGAGCAGCAGCTGGCGGTGGCGCCGGCACCGAGCACAACCAGTGATCCGTTTCGCTTTGACTCCGCACCACCCAAGAAGGAGTCCAAGCGCAATTTGAACCAGCGCTGGTTCCTCAACGGAGTCATTTCCACCAAACAGGCGGAGAGCATCATTGGACTCATACGCGATTTGGCTAGCGTAAGTTATTGCTTTGATATTTCTCAGATGTTGCAAATCGAGCTAATAAACCACTTGTTTGCAGGGTAAGCTGAGTGAGAAGTGGTCGCAGATCACCAAGGCGGCCATTGCGGAGTCTGTCCTGAATCTGACACGGCTCGAGGAGATCTACCGCACGCCGGAGCATTGCACAAAGACGGCCACACTGTGGCTAGCGCTGGCTAGTCTCTGTGTGCTGGAGCGTGATCATGTGGAGAAACTGTCGTCTGGACAATGGTCCAAGCTCTGCGACACGCGACCCATGTGCACCAATCATGACGATGGCGAAACGGCGGCCATCATTCAATGCGAAACATGCGGCTCGCTCTGCGGCGATTGTGATCGCTTTTTGCATCTCAATCGCAAGACACGCACACATAAGCGCACGGTAAGTGGAATCATTTTAGCAGTCAATCAATCAACTCTTATATTTGTTAGTCAATCATCTTCAATCATTCACTTTATGAATATCTATAAATTGATGTATCAATACTTTGATCAATAATTCTTTTTGTATTTGTAAGTCAATCCGTTGCGCTATTCATCAATCAACATTCATATTTGTTAGTCTATCAATCAACATTCATATTTGTTAGTCAATAAGTGGAGCTGTCAGTCAATCAACTGAGTAAGCACAGTCAATCAGCTGAGTAAGCCAGCTGCAATCAGTCTTATTATAAATATCTATAAATTGATATATCAATCCTTCAGTCAATCATTCCATTTATATTTGTTAGTCAATCAGTTGCGCTGTCAGTCAATCAACATTTATATTTGAGTCAATCAGATGGGTTAAGCTTCAATCAGTCATTCATTTAATGAGTGTCTATGAATTTATATCAATCCTTCAATCAATCCCTTATTGCGCCAATTAATTAGCCAATCAATAAACCAATTAGACGATTCTAAATCAAAATATTAATTGTTCAATCTACCAAGCTTTAAGAATCAGTCAACGAACCCAATGATATAACGAATCTTTAACAGTCCATTAACCAATTAAAAAGGCCCACCATGAGTTCGCCATATTTTATAATCGCGCACTTAACTTATCAACCAATAAGTAATACTTTAATGTTGATTGCCAACCAATTTGTCAATGAATTAATCATATCATGCATTGAACTTATCAAATAACAAAGTATACATCTATTTGGATGGTCAATCAGCTTGTTATGCAATTAATCATACTGTTCAGTCATTTAAATGTTATATATTATTTTTCTCACATATATTTTTACTATTGATCAATTAATTCGCGATTCAATCAATCACAAGTTCAATCAAGCATTCAATGTGATGGTCAATCAGCTTGTCATGCAATCAATCATATACTGTAATCAATCAAAGCTTATATTTTATTCGAATTGATCAATCAGCCAGCTTCAATCAATTCAGTCATCACACCGAAACAAAATATATATTTTATATGGACCATCAATTTGTCATTCAATCAATTAAACTCATCCGAAAAAATTGTTTATTATATCTGATTGTCAATTGGTTTGCCACTCAATCAAGTATTTATCATTTTCAAACAATCAACTAAGCTTTGTACTCACAAAACAAAAGATTGTTTGTTTTTGGTGATCAATCAATTTGCCAATCATTCAATTAGTCATATTTTTCAATCAAACGTTGCACTTGTAAAAACAATATACATTTTGATGGTCAGTCAATATGTCATTCAAGTAATCAATCAATCAATCAAGCATTGCATTCCTCAAACTGAAACGTATTTTGATGATCATTCAATTTATGTTTTTCAGTCAATCAATCAAGCATTGAATTCATCAAACAACAAATGTGTTATTTTTTGATGATCAATCAATATGTCGTTCAATCAATTAGTCATTTTTATCAATCAATCAATCAAGCACTGCATTCATCAAACAACAAATTATATTCATATATCATTTTTCAATCAATTATGTAAGCACTTCAATAAATATTCATATATTTGCTGGCTATCAATCAATCAATCAATCAATGTTTGTTTTTATCAACTTAACAGGTTTGCAAGGAGGAGGAGGAGGCCATACGCGTGGAATTGCACGAGTCCTGCGGCCGCACCAAGCTCTTCTGGCTGCTCGCCTTGGCCGACTCGAAGACGCTGAAGGCAATGGTTGAGTTTCGCGATGGCAGCCACACGATCATCTCGGGCCCCCAGGAGGCTGTGGGTCGGTGTCGGTTTTGCGGGCTCACCGGCAACTCGGGCCTGCTGGAGATTGGAAACGTGTGCGCCGATGCCCAATGCCAGGAATATGCAGCCAATTCCTGCCTCAAGACAAAGCCCTGCGGTCATGCCTGCGGCGGCGTGGCCGGCGAACGCAAATGCCTGCCCTGCTTGCAGCATGTGTGCCATGCCCGCGAGAATGAGCTGGCCGAGGAGCTGCGCGATCCCAAGCTGACACAGGATGCGGACGACATGTGCATGATATGCTTCGTGGAGGCCGTCTCCTGTGCGCCATCCATACATGTAAGTGTGAAGATGATGACCCAGACAAATGCCAAGTCAACTAATCTCTGCCTCTCTCTCTCTCTCTTAACAGCTGGAGTGCGGTCATGTGTTTCACTTTCACTGCTGCAAGGCCGTGCTGGAGAAGCGCTGGAGCGGACCGCGAATTACCTTTGGCTTCTCGCTATGCCCCATCTGCAAGGCGGACATACAGCATCCCCTTTTATCGGACATATTGGAGCCAATCAATGCACTCAAGCAAGATGTCAAGCGCAAGGCGCTCATGCGGTAAGTCCAATGCATCAATTCAACATTCATATTCAATTTCCACGAACAAGGGTGAAAACAGAAAATGGCTGAAAAAAAACGTATACCATGCATAGTTTCTTGGCTAAAAGCCAAGCTAACGATTTCAAGCAACCAATTCACCGAACTGTGCGGAAAATGTGTGCAAAATTTCTGAAAACTATTTCTCTATAGGCATTATAGAAAATCTCGCTTATGGTCGGAATAAGGGTGGAAAACTATGTTAATATTTTAAACCTTTTCATATGCCTGCAAAGGTTGTAGAGTCTGTTATGATTTTACCACGAAATGTGGTATTATGGAATGATCGGAAATTATAAAAAACATGCTTTTCTTTTGAGATATTTTAAAACAATTTGGTATTTGAAAAATCGGTACCCAAAATCGTTTCATCAACGGACTGCTATATCATTAAACGAAATCGGAGTATGGCCAACTTGTCTGTTATTCAAGATATCTTCAGCTTCGCTTTTCGCCTAATCTATCTGCAGAGTTGTGTCGAATGGCTTGACTTTATTATATGGCAACACTGCCAGGCCATATATATTTTCAGTTCTATGTCATAGGCACTCATTGGAGGCGTTTTCGTAAAATCGAGTCTGCTTAATTCACTTTCACATTCGGAAAAGGGGTGGAAACGCATCAAAACCATTAAAACACATACATATATCTGAGACATTATCGCCTCCCAGACCAGGAATATCAGTTAATTGTTTCTTCCAAATGTTTTAACCCAAAATCCAAAAGCATCAAATACGAGGGCGTGGTCAAGGATACGGACAACAAGGATGTGACACAGCTGGCAATGGATCGTTATGCGTATTACGTATGCTTCAAATGCCAGAAGGCCTACTATGGCGGCGAGGCGCGCTGCGATGCGGAAATTGGCGAAAAATTCGATCCCGAGGAGCTCGTCTGCGGCGGCTGCTCGGATGTGGCGCGCGCCCAAATGTGCCCCAAACATGGCACCGATTTTCTCGAATACAAATGCCGCTACTGCTGCTCGGTGGCGGTGTTCTTTTGCTTTGGCACCACCCACTTTTGCGATACGTGCCACGATGACTTTCAGCGCCTGACCAACATACCCAAGATCAAGCTGCCCCAATGCCCCGCCGGGCCCAAGGCCAAACAGCTGCTGGGCGACGAGTGTCCCCTTCATGTCATCCATCCGCCCACCGGCGAGGAGTTCGCTCTTGGCTGTGGCGTTTGTCGTAATGCCCAAACATTTTAGCAACTGCGTGCCAAGCAACTGCAGCTGGAACTTAAACTGGAACTGCAACTGGAACTGGAACTGGAGCTGGAACTAGATCGCTCGCCAGCGGAACCGCCGCCGCCGCCAGAATACGCGCCTAGAGAGGAGGACTTTTAGGCACACACACACACACATATATATGAAGAGAGAGAGAGAGAGAGAGAGAGGGAGAGAGAGAGAGAGAGAGAGAGAGAGAGAGAGAGAGAGGGATAGAGAGAGAGAGAGAGGGAGAGAGAGCGAGAGGGAGAGCGCAATTAGGCATAATAATTATAGACATATGTATGTAAATTATCATAAATGTTTTTTTTTTTTATATAAATAATATATATATATATATATATATGTATGTATATTTATTATATATTTCAAAAGTTGCAATTTTTAGCTATATGTGTATTTAACTAAATTATTTATTTATTCTAATTGTAATCTAAACGGCATTTTTTTTCTTTTATTTTTATTACTTTAACTCAATTTTACACATACTCACACACACATACACGGGCACACACACACACACACACACACACACACACACACACACACACACACACACACACACTACACTACAGACACACACACACACACATACTCTTAAGTAGGTTCGAAATGGTTACGGGAATTGGGCGTGGTTCTTTATAGTTGTGTAAAGATTGATGGAAGGAAAATATATAAAAAAGAAAATTAAAATAAAAAATAAAAATAAAAAAAAAATGAGAAAAAAACAAGAAAGATATAAATGCATACACCGAAAGAAATATATTTACACACATGCAATATTATTTGTAATACTCACAGAACAGACTCATTTTCTTATAATATATATATTTTCCATTCGCAGAGAATGTTAACAAAATTAAAGCATATTTATATACAATTTATTGTAATAACTCAATAATGTTTATTATGAATGTGACAAGAAACCAAAAGAAACAATAAATAAATAAAGCAGCAAATCTAAGTTCTTATGGCTTCTCCCTGAAGTACGCCAACGTAAACGAAAGGGAAAAACATTCAAGAGTTTCGATTTACATAGTATATAGTATACTATCTACTGTAGATTATATAGTATATCTATCTATATATATTTATCTTAAGTACACATAGTATATTTATTTATATATTTCCCTTGTCTACCCTTGTAGAGGGTATTATTATTATACCCATTAAAAGTGGGTATAAGGGTATATTGTATTTGTGCAAAATCCAAATGTATGTAACAGGCAGAAGGAAGCATCTCCGACGCCATAAAGTATATATATTCTTGATCAGCACAATAGCCAAGTCGAGATAGCCATGTCCGTCTGTCTGTCTGTCCGTCCGTCCGTCTGTCCGTCTGTCCGTATGAATGAGTCAAAGGATCTCAGAACCTATAAGAGCTAGAGACTTGAAATTTTAGATGTAGATGCGCAGATCGAGTTTGTTTCCGATAATCGATAACTTACTCCGTTTCCAAGCAATCGATAAAAATCGATATCGATATCCTGTTTTTGGGCAATTTTGGTAAATAATAAGAGCTAGAGTCACCAAACTTGACATATAGCTTCTAAAATAGAATATATATATATGCATTTGATGTTGAAAGAAGAGGGTTCAGGGTATCCCCTAGTCGGGAGCTCCCGACTAGAACCTCTCACTTGTTTTGTCATGAAATGTGTAACGCATAGCAGGCGACGTCTCCGACCCCATAAAAACTGTATATATATATCTATATATATTCCAGATTAGCATCAATAGCCGAATTGCTATGGCCATGTCCGTCCGTCTGTTTGTTTCGGTGCGAACTCTAGTCTCTCAGTCTTAGGGCTAGATCCATCTTTCTATCAATATTGGAACAGTAAGTCGATTATATTATTCAATTTACCCCTTAGAATAATCTGTTTGATGAAAGAATCTAGCTTGTGCCATAAAAAATGTGCTTTGAACTTTCAGGTTTTCCAATCAATCCTGCTTAAGGACTCTCAAGAACATGCTGAAAAAAAGATCTGCCAACATTTTGGAAAGCTCTTGAAAAACCTTCCAAAACTTTTGTGGAATGAAAAAAACAAAACCAGCTTGTTTTTAAAAACATGTATGTATTTGTTTTTTGTTTTATTTTGTGTTTTGTTTTTGTTTTTTTTTTTTGTATACTTCCCATTTTCATCAGCATTTTTCTCTCGTTCTGCATATACTTTGCTGTGTTTGGATGTATTTATTTCATGTTTTTTGTTTTTGTTTTTTTTTTTTTAATATTTATCATAATGAATGCATACAGATAATATTTAATTTTTTTTTTATTTTTTTTTTTAATTTATGCTTCCTCAACAAATTCAAGAATTTATTAACATGAGTTTGTGTGTAGCTGTCTGTGTGTGTGTGTGCGTGTGTGTGTGTGTGTGTGCGTGTGTGTGTGTGTGTGTGTTAATATCAATGTTAATGTCATAATAATTAATTTACTATACACATTAATTACAGCATTAATTAATTGATTTTTCAAATAAATGTAAGTACTATGTTTTATAAATTTATAATTTTTGGGGATTTACTATAATTTATTTTTCTTTTGTTTTTATTCTTTATTTTGTTTTTGGTATTTTTTGAATCTGTTTTTCATAAGTTCAGCTTTTTTTCTATTCAAGCATTTTGCGGTATTTCGTATTACCTAAATATGCAGTTGTAAATCTCGAAGTTTTCGGGCGCCATTGAACGAAAAAAATCTCAATTTTGTTTACGAACGTACTATTATTGGATGCATTTATTTAGCTATTTTGTACCCTGAACCCAGTCAAATCTTGTAAAAATGGATTCTATGATTTTATATACATATATCTATATATATATATATATATACAGACGAATTGATCTATCTATCGATCTCTCTGTCGCGTTGATCTGCAAGGCCTAGACTCTTGAAATCAGCATATCTCGAGGCTTATAAGCTAGAGTCTAGCAATTTGGTGTGTAGGTACTCGTCTAGTATGCACAGATACCGAATATTTGAGTTATGGGATTGTGGGCAACGTATTTTTCGAGGTATAGTCTTGGGCTTCATTATTTGCGCACATTTGTATGCCATATTTATAAGCTGAAAATTTTATAAAGATCGGACCATAGAGACCGGAGTTCATCAAGAACAGATTTACCATAGCTGGGAGCTAAGGGAGGAATAAACAGGGTTGCTTCGCAAGCAGCACTGCAAGCAGTGCAATTGCAAGCAAGCAGCACAGCAAGCAGTGCAGCAAGCAGCGCGCGTGCATGCGTGTGTGTTTGCTTAAAGGGTAGCTATTGCTAGAACGTTTGTGATGGGTTCAGGATATCAACTAGTCGTGCATGCCCGACTAGAGCATACACTGCTTTCACATTTTTCATTGTCTGTTAATTGTCTGTTAATTTGTTTGTAAATGTACAAATAGGCAGCTTTTTCATGTTCAAAAAGAAAGGGCGCGTATTCGAAAACATTTTCATGAATCCATTGTTCAAATTGTTGTATAATACATATACATATATATATCTATATATATATACATATTTTAATTATGCTCATCAAATTGGTGGATATAGTTAAATGTTCGATTTCTTGGAATTGTTTTTCATTTTTCTTTGTTTCTTGGTTGTCGATTTTTGTAAAATTTTGGTTCTTTTTCGTCTAGAGACTAGAAACTAGCGTCTAGCGCGTAACGCTTAGTATTTTGTTTCAGTATTTTTTTTAGTATTTTTTGGTATCTTTTCGCTATGCTTGCCAGAAGTGTTGGATTTTCAAAAAATGTTTTGGTATTCATGTGTTTAAGGCTTTGGTATTTTGTATACACATATATATGTATGCTTGTATATATATATATATGTATATAGTATGTATAATTTAATTACAATCCATTTAGTTTTTGTATACATAATTCATAATAAAGTGGCATGTTTTTATTTGTTTTGTTTTTCTTTTCTTTTTTTTTTTGTTGGTATTTGTTATTTTGTTGTTGTTGTTGTTGTTTGTTTATCGTATTAATAGCATCATATATTATTTTTAGTATTTTTTCTTTAATGATTTTGCTTAGAAAAAAAATTCTGGCGTATAAAAGCTTTTTAAGTTATATGTATATATGTTTTTTTTTTCGGTTTTTTCTTTAATCGTAATTTTTTGTGTTTATCTGTTTAAGCTTTAAAGTGTTTTGTATGCGGTATATTTAGTATTTTTTAATGTATTTTCTTTTTTTGTCAGTTTGGCGCTTCTAAGCATTTGAAGCAGCTATATCTATATGTATACATATATAGTATGCATATATACATATATATAGTGTTTACATGTATATACATTCGATCTCTGGCATAAATTCATCATAGGCTTGCTTAATTTCTTGAATATAGTCTAGTATCTGTTAGTATTTAGTTGGGTGAGCCTGCTGACTTGGAGTTCTTTGTTTTTGCGTATGAGTTAGGCAATTCCTCGTCTGTCTGGTGTATATAATATTATGTAGACATATATATCTACATATGTACATATAAATATATGTATATATATTTATATATATATATAAATATTATAGGTAAATATCGGATCTTATTCATCATAAATGTTACTTTTAATATAAATTTTGACTAATTATCGCTTGCATTAAGCGTGAACTATAAATTGTAATTGCACCTTAATTTGTTTGGGTTCTTTTTTTTTCAGTTTTTTTTTTTGTGGTATTTTTTGTATGCAGGCATTAAATTTGTATCTTTTTATATATCATGTATGTGGTTAATTGGTTTATTCATAAGTGTATAAGGCTCTGTGTATTTATTTAGCACTCAAAACTCTCAAAAGGTGACAACAGAAAATACCAAAAAAAAATAAAAAAAATACTAAACTGGTATATGAAAATTGGATGCCGCTGCGAGTTTATGAGCTGGAAGCGAAAGCATGTCGCAAACGCTGTTCAATAATTTATGTATTTTGTATGCGTACTATTTTGGTATTTTTTTTTTTTTTTGTCATATGTCATATATTGTATGCAAAGAAAAGTCCGTTAAACCAAGTTTCAAAAACTGTTATACAGTTAACTCTAGTACCGCTAGTCATATTCAACTATGCTAAACTATGCTATATATATATATATATATATATATTTATGTATATCTATATATATTTGTCTAGGTAAGTTACCTCGCCATGCTTCTAGCCTGCACCATATGCATGGTATATACCACAAAAAAAAAAAAAAAAATACCTTTTAGAGTATACTAATGTTTGTTTTTAATGCTCTAACGCTAGTTGAGTCATTCAATTTGCCATTCGACTAGTGCGCCTTAAACTGAGTAGTTTCTATTAGTATTAATATTATTTGTAGTATTTTTCATATTCATATTTTTTTGGACTACTAAGAAAAAAAATACCATACGACTATAAACCTTAACCTTCTAGACTATGTATACACAATGAGCCCACAGCTAGTTTCTGTTCATAGTACATATACATATAGATATATATAAATAGATGGATGTATATATATATATTTTTTTTTGTGGGGGGGGGGGGGGGGGGGGGAATTGTTCTAAATATATGCAACAAATTTCGAATATATTTCGTGTTTCCTTTTTTTTTTAACATTATTATCAAAACTTTTGAATGAATATCATTTTATGTAAAATTTGTTTTTTTTTTTTTTTATGTACATTTTATAATTAAAATTAAACTCACTTTTTTTTTTTAATACCACTTGAATTGCTTTTTGGTTGCTGGCAAAAAAAAAAAAAAATTTTGCAACACTTAAAAAAAAAATTGAAAATTGAGTAAATTCAGTAAAAATTTGTTTTCGTTTCTAAAAATGTTCTGCTGCAATAAATGTTTATATAATTTATATATAAACTAAAAACTTGGAACATTTTTCAAGGTAATTTGTTTTTGAGAAATTGTTTTCAGTGTAGTCGCAACTGTTGAAAAGGATCTTAAGTGCGATTTGGGCTATTTTTGTGTTGTTTTTTCTTTTTTTTCGGTTTTGTCGGTTTTAGTCAGCCTGATTATGTACAACTAAGTAAAACTAACTAAGTAACTCGCTACAGTTCCAGAACTTTAGGGGAAGACCAAAATTCGTATTGCTTAATGTGTGTGTGTGTGTGTGTGTGTGTGTGTGTATGTGTGTAACTTGTTCAGGGTTCTAGCCTGAAACTAGCGAACTCAGACTAACTATGGAACTAACATAATGTCAACTATATAAATCTGAATCATTCAAGTGGGGCAAGAGAAATAATGCGCTTAAGTGTTATGAAACCTTTGCAATATATATGCATGTGTCTGTCTGTGTGTGTGTGTGTGTGTGTGTCTGTGTGTGTGTGTGTGTGTGTGTAGTCTATATTGTTTTAATGCTCCGGAACATATGTCCAGTTTGAACAAAAAATTGTTTTTTTTTCTGCTCGAATTGATCAATTATGTTTTTTTTTTTTTTAACAAATTTCTTGTCTGTTTTCGCTTAAACTATATGCAAGTGCAAGGGTTTTGTTAATTGATGCGCTTGCTAAAACCATATTGTTGAAATGTTTAATTAATTTTTATAGTATTTCACTTGCTTCTTATTATCACAAAGTATTTTATGTGTATGTGTTAAACAATTGGAATTTGCAATTAACATTTGTTGTATTTACTTTGTTTATATCGTTTGCCCGACTTTTAATTTGCATTTCAAATATTTACATAAACAAATATTGTTTATTATTTTTTTTTTTTGTTTTTTTGGGAAATTTAATGTACACGTTTGTTTTTCATATAAATATGTATATACAAATGTTAGTTGGTTTTATTTTGAATTAACTGCTTTTTTTTTTTTTTGCTTTTGCTATTTCTATTTCTCTCGATTTCTGTTTTGGTTTTTGTTTGTTTTGGGTTTGTCGATTGTCGTTTCGTTTTGCGGCAACAGTTTCTTGTGTCTTTGTCTCGTCTTTGTTGATTTTCTCTTTTTGTTCTTTGTGGCTGGGATCTTTCGTATAGTTTGTTATGCTTGTTAGCAAGTGCTCGAGTTGTGTATAGGACGGGTATCATGACAATGTAAACCAGTTTAGGGGGGGGGGGGGGGGGGGGGGGCTAGCTGGGCCACGCCCCCAAGCAAACACTACACTACTGCGAGTGAGTACAGCTAGAAAAAAAAAGTACTCGATAGCCAAGTGCTTTGAGCATCGAAGCTAGGCCTAGCTCAGCCGATTCTTGGCCGAGAAGCTGACTTAACACATTACTTTTTCAGCTGGAAACTCAGCGATTCGCTTGAATATTGACATATTCATGAAATGAAGCGGCTTCAATTATTGTACGTTGACATTTTTTACGGCATTTGTTGTTGTAAAATGCACAATTTTGCTACAAATTTCGTGTTAGCCGTTTGCCAAAAATATGCAACAAATTATTTTGAGGTTATGTTCGGCAAATGAAGCGGAATTTTAGTTGGTTAGCGATACGTGTATTATACTTTTAGGCTGGCTAAACAAAAGGTGCAACAGAGCTGGTTTTTGGAATTTTGATTAGATTCTACTTAAAAATATCTATAATATCTGAGCCGGTTTGCCACTGCAATCGATCCATTATAACAATATTTTGTGGAACTGAGTCTCAAGTGAGATTCGAAAAATGACATCTGTACATATATATATATATATATATATAACAAAATTCTGCTGGGTTCGGCTCGAAGTAACTATTTTTTCTTAGTAGCGCTGACTTTTTTTAGTTTCTTGTTTTTTTTTTTTTAGCACATTCTACTTGTATGTACAATTCACTGGCATTTTTTGCTGTTTGCCTGCTTTAGCGTTTATCACAAAAATATTCATTTACATCATGTATATCATGCATACATCATCTGTGTGTGTGTGTGTGTGTGTGTGTTCGCCTCTGATCTGATCTAATATAATATTGTTCGTATATAAAGGTAAATAATTGCAGTAAATGTAGCAAATTCGTAAGCAATATGCTATATGCTTAATGCCTTAATTCATAATCAAAAACGAGCATCTCAGCTCCTACATACATCATCAGATACATCAGAGATAGAGATAGAGAGAGAGGGAGAGAAAAATTTGTACCGCTAGCAAAATGTTGCCTGCGAGTCAGGATAGAGCGAGAGACATAGAGAGATAGAGCATTAAGTGCACGTGTTGGGAGAGCGAGAGTATGAGAGCAATCAGTCAATCAATCAATCAAACAATCAATCAACTGATTGCCCAAAGCGTCAGCAAGTTTGTGTAGTATAAAAAGAGACACTTCCAGAAATAGATAGGTAGATAGCGAGTGCGAGTGTACGTGTATCTAAAATAGTTGACAGCTGCACATACATCGTGTATACATAAATATATATATATATATATATATATATATATATATATATAGGTATATATAAATATAGAGCTATACATAATATAAGGACTTGGGCATAGACACTAGTTTGTATGCACAATCTATGGACCAGAGACTAGCTAAGCGTATGCATAGGCTAACTCTGTATGGCTTGGGCCCCCGATCCGCGTCAGTCGGCGCAAATGTTACTGCTCGAAGCTGCTGCTATCCGCCGACTGATGGCGCACCAGTATTTTGGGCTAGAGGAACTCCCGCTTGATGCTCCGTCCGCTGCCCGTTGGCGTTGTTGTCGCGCTTGTTGCAGCTGCTGCTGCTGCTGCTGCCGCTGTTGTTGTCGTTGGCGTCTGTGTGCCGGCCGGCGGTGTGCCGCCTGTTGTTGTGGGCGTGCCAGCCCGACTGGCCGGCATCAGCTGGGCGGCACTGAAGTCCTCCTCGAGCAGACGCAGATGCAGCAGCTCGACAGCGGCAGCTGTAGTCGTGACTGCTGCTGCTGCTGTTCCAGTTCCAGTTGCAGTTGCAGTGGCAGACGCTGACGCTGTCACGCTCGTCGTACCAGATCCAGTGACAGATCCAACAGCAGCCGTTAGCGTTGCGGCCGTTGCGGCGTGTGTCTGCTTAGGAGGCGCCGGTGCTTTCCTGCTCTTCGAGCGTCGCTTTTTGAGCATCAGCGGCCCCAGGCCGTTGCCTCCCGTGCTCGACACAACTTGGACGCTTGGATTTAGTAGACCGCTGCCAGCGCCAGCGCTCGCTGTTGTTATGGCCGTGCCGCCGCCAGCTGTCGGCGATGAGATCGTTATCACAGTGTCCACCGGCGTGCTGGCCGCTCCCGTTCCCGTTCCCGCTCCCGTTGCTGTTGCTGTTGACGTTGTCGGTGTGCCCGTTGCCGTGGCCGTTGTTGTTGAGGCTGCTGGGACGCCGCCAGCGCCGCAGCCCGCACAGATCTCGTCACCGGGCGTTGTCTGGCCGCTGCTGTCCATTTGCGGTGCCACACGCTTGACCAGCTCACCCAACAGATCCTCGATGCGGCCGATGCGCTGCTGCATGCGCTGCAGCTCGAGCCGCACATCCACCTTCATGTCCAGCACGGTGGCAATCAGATCGCGCTGCGCCAGCGTGGGCGGCGTCTCGCGCAGCCCCGTATCGTATGTGTCCGATGTGGTTGCACGCGAGCTGGCCATCTCGATCTGGCGCTCCCGCTCCAGCGCCAGATTGCGCTCCTTGCCGACGCCACTCGCTGCCGTTGCTGCTGCACCAGCTGCCACGCCGGTCGCACTGGCCGTTGCGCCAGGCGCCAGCGTGGCTGCGGGCACTGTGGCAACAGTTGTTGCGGCGCCGCCATCGATGACCACCCGGCTGTCACGGCTGGGCGGCGACGAGTCAACCTCGCCGCCCTCGTCGATGGTGTCCTGGCGCGCCAGCGTCGCCTGGCTGGCCTGCAGCTTGGGCGCCTTGGGGAATACCTGCAGGGTGACGTATTTAATGGATGCATAGCGGGATGCAGAGGCGTTTCGGACAGGCAGTTAGACGGTAGATTGACAGATTGACAGTTTGACAGATTGAAGGTGGAGACAGTTGCGATCGGTGACGATGACAGTTAATGGCGGGCAGGCGGGCGGGTTTTGGGGTTTTTTAAATCATTCGTTTTGTTTTGGGACAGGAGAGAAGTGAGAAAAGTGGATTTACATTTATGTTTGGTTAAAGTTGCATTTGTTGTTGTTGTTGTTGCGCATTCAAAGTTGGTGTTTATCGGTTTTGTTGTTGTTGTTGTTAAAGGTGTTAATAGTGCAGTTTGATTTCCAATCGGTTTGTTTTTTGTTTTGTTTTTTTTTGGCGCGCATTTTGAGCGTCAGCATCCAATGCAAAAAGCGAATTCAAGTTGTTGTTGTTGTTTGTTGTAGCAAGGCAAGCAATGTTATTATTTTGTTTATAGTCGTTTGTTTTTTGGTTTTGTTGGTAAGCAATAAACGAAAAATAGAAACATATCAATCGATTTAATAGTCATCGCAAGAAACTCTAATTGGCAGCATTTGCTAATCGTGTTCGGTGCAAGCACACACGGACACATACATACATGCGCACACGACCACGTTCAGTGGACGCGAGTGTGTGTGTGTGTGCAGTGTGTGTGTATGTGCGTGCGTGCGTGTGTGTGTGTTGGGAGCAGAGCAGCGGCGCTAGACTAAAATGTCAACTAGAAGGCGGAACAGACTGAACGGCGACGCATTGCCGGCACGAGCAATATATCGATATGCTTATCGATAGGCACATGCATACATACAAATATCGCATAGCAGCGATCTGCACTAGAGTTGGGCGCAAGTCGTGATTTCCCTCGACGATATTTTCTTATTGAAATGTCGAATGCTGTGCAATTGCGTATTGAGCAGTTTTCTTTTTCTTGCTTTAAATTAACATAGCAGCCCGAAAGAACAAATAATAAAAGTGTCAAATAAAAATGAAACATAAAATAAACAAGCATTACAAAAGTCCATGCTGTGCCGTGTGTGTGATTGTGTGCGTGTCGCATCGCTCCTGCTTTTACCAATACGACAGGCGCCCATCTGCTAAGTGCAAGCTATCAATTAATCAAATGCGTCGCTGTGCTGTCTGTTGCGTGTACAAAAATATCGATATACCTTTACCGATAGCGATAAACGTGGTGTGTTTTGGTGAACAAAGCAACTAAATATCAAATTGACTTATATTGTGAGCAATTAAACAACAAAATGATCGATTCAAACTTACTTTGCTTAATTGTAAATGCTTTTTTTTATGTTTTTTTTTTTGGTTTTTTTGTTTGTATTACCGAACGCAAAAGTTGAGAACAAATCGAATAAACGAAATGAAAGCAAAATGGCGAAGAGTTGGCATCGAGAAGAAAGAACAAAACGAAAACAGGTGAGCATTAAAATTCACTGCTAAAGTATACATATAGTTTAGTATACATATATATATATATGTATATATATAGTTAAATAAATCGAGTGACAAAATCTTCATAACAAATCGAATTATGAAACTTTTCTCTTTTTGCTCAGTGAAGAGTTTCTTGCATTCGCCTGTTAACGGTTGACTATTTAATTTTGTTGCTATTAATTGTTGTTGTTGTTTTTTTTATATTTTTATTTTGTGTTGCATTTGTATTGATTGGTTAACGGTAATTACTTTATTGCCTTGTCCACCATTGCTACTCGAAGTACTACTCTGCCGCGCTTGGGCAGTGCTCTCACGCAGACTTTCGCGGGCGCTCAAACTTCTCGAGACGGCTACCTTGGCGCTAGTATCGCTAGCTGAATCGACACTTGAACTGCCCAGAAGGCGTCCCCATTTGCTGGCACGGGTACTACGTGCAGATGGTGGACCCGATGAGGGCGAGGGTGATGGCGATGGTGAGGGTACGGCGGCGGTTGTTAGGATGCGTGAGTCCTCGGTTAATGTTAGTTTAGCGGGTAGCTTCTTGGATAGTTTGGTAAATTACAGTTTTTTTTGTTTTTGTTTTTGTTTTTGGTTTATTTACGAGCAATTTGGGAAGATTTATCAATTGGAGTTTTGGTGAGCGCAGGCAGAGAGAGAGAAAAGAGAGAGAGAGAGAGAGAGAGAGAGAGAAAGAAAAGAAAACAGCATGTTGTCGGAAAGGGGAGCGGGGGGGTCGGATGCATATACAGTTAGAGTTGGAGTTGGAATTGGTAAAGGGAGCATTTGATCAAGGCAAAAAACAAATTTGTGTGGGAAATTCACATTTGTGTTTTCAGTGTTGCAAATCGTGTTAATGTCAATTTGTTGGTTGTAGTCATGGTTGGTCGCGGTGGTGGGGGGAAAAATAATTCACAATTTTTCGTTAGTAATTTTGATTAGTTCATATTTTCAATAAAGCCAATTGTCAACAAGATTTATACAGAAACAGAACAGTTTGACAAACAACAACAGCAGGAAACAAGGAAAGAGTGAAAGATGGAGAGAGAGAGAGAGAGAGAGCGCGAGAGAGAGGAAGAGTGATGTTGGGAGTTTGGCGGAACGGAAGAAGGCATAACATCGATATTCAAAACGAGCGTTTGGGTGCGTGAGTGAGTGACAAGCATACGTGTGTGTTTGAGCGAGAGAGAAGAAAGTGGGAGAGAGAGAGATAGAGAGAGAGAGAGAGAGTTATGCAGTTGATGTTGTCAGTTAGAGCGAAAGCATGTGAATGGAAGACAAAGAAAGATATACAACGAGCATAAGTCACTTGTGTATGCATTTGATATAACAGTAATACGATATTTTCAAATGGTTAACGGTTAACAGTTAACGCTTTAACGGTAAACGGTAACGGTAAACGTTTTACGGTGCCAGCTTGGCCACATGGCCCAACAAACCTGAGCTGTGGCTGTGGCTGTGGCTGTGAGTGGATTAGTAACGATAATGCTTCAAAAAAAATAACGTTAGTTTAATTACTTTGTTAACAATAATTGTGGCAGTTATACACACACACACTTATACATTATTCTGAAGTACAAAAATGAACATTTAATGGGTATAAAACAAAATGAATGAAGTGGAACGAAAAACGTCGCTGAAACTAACGAAAGATCAAAATTCGTAGTCGAATTTAAGTTTGAAAGCACGTAAATTCGAAACGAAACTCAATCAAAGAAGGCGCCACACAAAAAGTACCAGGCACGAGAGCGAGCGAGTCACAGAGAAAGAGAGAGAGAGAGAGAGAGAGTGTGACAAGACGCGCTCTCTTCGTAGGCTCACGTTTTCTGGTGTGCGCTCAACGGGAACAAAACGGAATTGGATGACAATAACAGAATATGAGTAACGGCAACGCTAACGGTATGACAACAAACAGTTAAAAGCATTGCACGAAACACAACGGAAACGGAATACGGAATACGGAACACATGGAATTCGAAACAAGCAAAATAAGTTATGAATAAGTTACTAACCTTGGTGCGTTCGACCTCGCCATCGCCTTTCTCGATATCGCTTTGGCCGGAGCCAACGTGCTCCTTGCTGCCCGCCTGGACCTGGGGTGTACGCCGGAATTTGGAGAAGATTTTGCGTACAAGATGATCCTGATTCTGGGGCAATTGCGGTTCATTCTTACGCCGTTCGGCCAATTCTTTTTCGCGCTTCACATCGGCCACCTTGCGAAAAATCAGTCGATGTCTGAGATTGTAGGTGAGCACCAGATTGCGTGCAAAGCTATTCGCAAATGCCGAATAGAAATCGAGGACTTCGAGCAATTTATCACGTTTGATGGCATGCAAATCACAATAGGTCAGTGCACGCACATTGGCGGCACTCTGGCCAACGGCCGAGTCCTTCCAGAATTGATCGCCGAAGACGTCGCCTTTGCCTTGAATGATATACATGCATAGTTATCGTACACGATCGATATTTATCGATAGATAGATAGTTTAGCCGTGCGTTCTATCAATTGTGTGTACATACCCAATATTGCCACAACCTCGTCGTCCTGTATAACCTCCAGACTGCCAGTCACAATAAAACAGAGACTATCGATACTCTCGCCGGTATGATAGAGCAGATCCCCCGGCGCCGAGTGTGACATCATGAAGTGCATCGCTAATGCGCGCAGACAACCATCCGAGGCCAGACGAAATGCTGGATGCTCGTTAAATACTTTGCGATTTAGATGAACACATATGTCAGCCTTCATATCTTTCGGACAATAGTTTAGTACCTGCGAATTGTGAATGAGTTGCGAGTTGCGTTCTGTGTGCTCTGCTACTCTATATTGTCGTCACCAGTAACCCGCAACCCCACCCCGGATCGGATCGGAATCGTAGCACCCATCATGGGATTGGTTTATAAGTATCAGGAAAGTCGGGAGGCGGGAATTGGTATCGGTTCTATCTTTGGTTTCTGGGACAGGTACGGACATTGTCTGCGGGCTCTGGATGATGGTTAGTCAAGTGATTCACAATAGAGAGAGAGACACACACACGCACACATACACTAATACACATATACAACATTGAACAGTGTACAAAAGACTTGTGTCTGTGTTTCTGTCTAGGTGTTGTGTTTCGGCTACATTCTGGTTGTGTGTCTGGCTGTGTGAGTGTGTGTGTGTGTGTGTGTGTGTGTGTGAGTATTGGTTGTATTTGGATTGGTTTTTTTTTTTTTGGTCAGTTAAGACATCAAGTAGCTCAAAACCTTTACAGACGCATATAAGCTACTATTTTTTTTCAGTGTTTTAATTGAATTTCAAACTGAAGCTGACTGAACATTTTTCTTGGTTTTATGTTAAGCTGGACAAATTGGTGCTCTATTGCTTTCTTTTAAACCCTTGCAGAGAATATTATAATTGATTGAGATCTACTTCTGAGACTTGACAAAATGTTTTTTGTTACAACTCGGTAGGAGCTTGAAAGTTGAGAGCTAACTCCTCTGATGCTGCACTCTAAGATGGGGTTTTGGAAATTCCATTCACATGAAAAAACTGAAGACATGTTTGTTTGGAACTTCTTTGTTCACCAGTCGATGAAGCGCATGATATTTTTCAAATTCCTTTGAGAGTTATTTCAAAAATTTTCGCATATCCAAGCCTGGAGTTTCGCGCTTAAATTCATTGTCAAGCATCTATATAAAAATTTATTTGAGACGGGTTATCAATTTTTTTCAAAATCCGTCACTTTTGCATGGAAAATGAAGGTAAATATTGCATGGGCGATGTTTTTAGTTTCGGCAGATCGATTTTTAGCTTATTTTCAAAGCATACGAACTTTTTGACTACGAGTTTCAGCTAATTGTGCAAATTTCACGCGCAACTGTGGAAAATTGGCGGAAAACGTTTGTATGCAATAAGAAAACGAAAGTTTTCAATTAATGCTTTTAGATTCACATCAAGCTATTGAAACAGGCAGAAAATGTTGGCTCTAACTTTTGGTTTCTAAATGGACTTCAAACTAATCTTCAGCTAAATATAGTTTATATATTTAATATTTTTTGTGGGCTTCTTCAGATACACTAACAAAACTCTTCAGTAAAATGTTGTATAAGTTAAATTATACAACAACGGACAACTATTACATTTAGATACTATCAGATCGGCCGGAAACTAAGTTTTTACAACTCCTAGACGTTGTTTTTGTGGCCAGTTCGTTTCATAATACGTCTGCAAGGGTATTCAAGCATCGGCTAGCCGATGTGGTTTGTACTTTCCTGAATGTTTGTTCATTGTTTTTTTGTTTTTTGTTTTGTTTTGTATTTATATGATTTTTGTCGAATTGCGGCACAAACTACAGTCAACGAAATAGGTATAAAGGTCAGTTGATTTGCTTCGGGTAATTTATGAATTGTTTATGTAAAATGCAATTCGATTACTTTGTTTTTAAACCAAACATTTCAGTTATTGTTTCAAATATATAACAAACGTTGGCGTTTGTCGTTTGGTTTAAGTTCATCTAAAGGCATGAATTTGACGGACGCTTTTCGTTTTGGCACGGATTTAGCTCACGCGCATCGAATAAAGAGAAGAACGGCATACATTTCAATGGAATTACAAAGAATATTGTTTTGTTTTTAATAAGATATGGTTTTTTTTGTTATTGTTTTGTTTTTTTATAAGTAGTCTGGCACAACTGCCAGAGATATGCACAGAAAGAAAGAGAGAGAGATAGAGAGAGAGAGAGAAAAAGAGAGAGAGAGCTTACCTCGACCTCGAGCTCGACTTGGACCTGTAGCTGTGGCTGGACCTCTAGCTGGTTATGTACCTGTACTTTTTGCTTGAACCTTGAGCATTGTGCTGCTTCTTGTTCACATGACTGTCAGTTCACTTAAATTTAAACTTTTGTCTTTTTGCTTTGGGTGAAAATTCGCAAACTACTTCTAAGTTTCGGCAACAGAATGGAAACGTGCCATTGGCAAATTTCTTTCGTATCGCACATATCCTCTGTTTGCTGTTGTTGTTGTTTTATTTATTTTTTTTCATTTGGGAAGCGTTTGATTCAAGTTCTAATATTTTGCTTAAAGCGTTTGCTGCTAGATGCGAGAAGCGATTTCAACGTAAGAGGAAAAACAAAGCAAACAGCAGCGAGCAGCGGCAAATGGCAAAAGCAGTTTTCCCATTTTCATTTTGAAAGTACTTGAGAAATGTGAAGAACTTTGCTGTAAGTTCGCGTATGTCGATGTGTGACTGTGTAAGAGTGTGTGTGTCTGTGTCTGTGTCTGTCTGTCCTTGGGCTGTGTGAGTTTGCATGTACAATTTTTGGTCTTTAAGCACAGCAACTGTGTGACAAAGCAAGGGGTAGCCCCTTGTTTAGCACTTGTTAGCGAAAGTAGCGAATGGGTTATGTGAGTAGCGAGAGAACAGATGAATACGGTTATAAGCATTTAGATACAAGCTCGAGAGAGATGGTAAATATTGTTTTAGTGTTAAAAGTAAAAAATTATGCAGCGTATTTTCGTGGACAAACAACCACTGACGAGTTGCTTCTAGCGAGTAGCGAGTAACGAGTAACGAGCGGGCGGAGCAACGAGTCAATCACTCTTATTGTGTCAAGTAACGAGTAGGCCGAGTAACGAGTAGAGCTAGTAACAAAAAAGGCCGAGCGACGAGTAAATCACTCCTCCAGCCAAGTTACGAGTGGGGCGAATAACGAGTAGGAAAAGTAAGGAGTAAATAATTCTTATTATGCCGACTAACGAGTAGACCGGGAAATGAGCAGGCCCAGTAACGAGTAAATCACCCTTTTATTTGGCCGAGTAACGAGTATGCCGAGTGTTTACTGGCTGTAAGCGTTTCTCGTTAGTATTTAAATAAGATTGCAAATTATAATGATTTTAATAGCATAACGTGACCAGTGAGTGGTGACTACAGGGTAACGAGTGGTCTTAGAGATTTACTCGTTGTAAGACTCTTGTGTTAGCAACTAGTTAGGAACAAGTGCGATTTCACAATATATTTTCCTGGCTGAGATCAACAATTGACAAGTAACGAGTAAGCTACTCGTTAGTTTTATCATAAGGCTCTTGTGGAAGTTCTTGAAAGCTGCGAGTAGCCCGTGGGCCAAGAACTCTATTTAGCCACTCATTAGCATTTAACGAATACTACGATCGCTTATAGATAACTTTTTGGGCTGCATAAGTGGATGGATTTTACTTTTGATGTTAGCTATATAAGGATCAAAAGTGATTGGCAAGTGATTGTAGCAGCGAGTAAATAAATAAAGAGTAAATAAAAAACAATGAATAGGTAATGCAGGAGTAAAATGATGCCTAAGTTGGTTGTTAGAACGTTGGGCGCAATATTTAACAAGCACGCTGGCAAACTAAAGACAAATGAACAAGTTTAATTAACTGTTTTTGTAGACTAAGGAATTGCGAACTACTTGTTGGATTCACTTATATTATAGACGATTCCACGGCCCAGTACCCAAGTCTCTTCACACGTAATTGCCCATGGATATAGATAGAGTAGATGTGGGTGCCAACTACTTGGCCGCACTTACCTTTTCGGTATCGAGACCTTTGGTCATGGCCCACGTAGAGACGACATAGTCCATAACGCGCTCGCTAAGCGCCTTCGGTACCTCGTGCAGCTTCATGAACTCCCGCACATTGTTGAGCATGTCGTGGTACTTGGCGGTGGCCGAGGTCATTTGCTGAATGATGGTCGTCACGTGACCAAAGATCGTCGCATAAAGCAGAGCTATAGTTGTTATGCGGGAGAGATGGAGAAAGAGAGAGAGAGATTGGAGAAGAAAAAGAGGTGTGGCATTGAAAATAACCGAGCGTTAAAACGAACGAGTTGAGACACAAGATTCGTTACATTTAGACACGCAGAAGTAGCGAGACAAGTCTACTCGTTATGTTTTGTTTTGTGCCAGGTCTTCTATGTGTGTGTGTGTATGTGTGTGTTTGTGAGTGAGCAACAGTAACGAGTACAAAATGTCAACGAGTTGAAGACTGATGTAGAGATTAAAGGCAGAGTGTCAGAATTGTTTACTCGCTGCAGATGAAACGCGCAAGCGCACAGCTAGAACGGTAATAAATGCGAAGAATTGGACGAGCGACATACAACGAGATGGAGGAAGAGATGCGAAGAGAGAGAGAGAGGGAGAGGAAGAGTAACTGGTAGTGAGACACATTACACAGGCGCACCGGGGGCATGGCTGTTGAGGCTTTAGCCCTGCTTTAAGGGTTGACGGTGCGTATGCGCAATATGCTCAAGACGTTCGACTCTATAAATGAAAATATTGAATGGAACGACAGATGCAAGCTGGGTATATATGGCATCTGATAATGTCTGTTATGATTAATATCAAAATTAAAAATAAAAGTAAATACGCACAACAAATTGTAACGAGACGTAAATTAACGAGAACTCACACATGGCGACGAATTGTGCAACTAGGCGTGTTTTCAATCGGTATGATTATCATCAAAAACAAACAAACAAAATAGAATATGTGTTAACTATCAAAACTTGTAACGCTTTCGAGTGGGCGGGGGGCGGGGGGTGGGGTGCTGACGCTAGAGGCTCAGATTTGTAGGGCGTGGCACTACCATAGATGAGATTCTCATATGGCAAAATGACTGAAGGCATAATGAGTTTATGTCTTTGCTTTTTGGCAACACCAATTCCGGCAATTTATTAGTTCTAGCGGCGCTTTAATTGTGTCTAGCTTTTGCAATGAGAGTATTTGCATATAGCTAAAGCGTTGCGGATTGTTTAGCGGGTTTTTTGTTTTTGAGAAACTTGGACGCGGCAACGGAACGTGTTTGGACACAGCACCTGCAATGATCATCATGCAGATGGTGAACACCTTCTCGTTGTCTGTCTCCGCTGCGACATTGCCGAAGCCCACCTGTTGGAAACAAGATAGCAAATATACACATATTAATCAAACTTGGCCAATTGCATATCGCCAGCCATTTGTTGGCCAAAGTGCAACTTACCGATGTCATGCAGGTCATGGTAAAGTAAAGGGCCGTCACATACATGCTCTTTCTGGATGGGCCATTGACGAGCTCGGGGCCCGTATCATTGCTCCATATATAGGAATACGGCGATTGGGTCACATTCGCCAGCTTCCACAGCCAGCTATATTGGATCTGCGGCATGGAGCTGGTTTGAGCAGGAGAATGCCAAAAATCAGCACGATATAATGGCTTACCCCATTATCGGCATCGCTGCGCCCAATCGAATACCAGATGCAGGCCAGCCAATGGGCCACCAGCATATAGAAGCACAGCAAAAGTATCAGCATGGCCGCACCATACTCCAGATATCGGTCCAGCTTGCGTACGACACGGCCCAAACGCAACAGACGCACAACCTTGAGGGCGCTGAAGAGCGAACCGATACCGTCCTCGTCGCGATCGAACGCATTGAAAACATCGTAGGGCAGACAGCTAAGCAGATCGATGATAAACCATGACTTCAGATAGTTCATTCGTATGACCTTCGGATCGCTGACCACCTCACCGCCGGGCCCCACAAAAGTGGTGTGAAAATTTAACACTAAACGATTCTCACTTTTAATATATATGCATATATATATATAAGTATATAGCTTGGCTGGACTTACCAATATCTATGAAGAAGATGACGTCAACAATTGAGTCCACAACGAGCAGGGAAACATCCTCTGAGGTTTTATTTTTAAACGCTACATTATATGGCACCTGTCGACAAGAAAGAACCCACAATTAGCTCAAGTTTGGGAAAGTGTAGATACTGGGAAAGCTGATGAGACTCGTGCTAAGGGCCCAAGTCAATCGGTGGTCAACTTAAAGCTGCTTAGCTGATGTTGACTATGCAACAGGTTGGGCCAACAGTTTGTTATCCTTAATCCTTAACGTTGTTATGTGCCACGCCCCCAAGTTCTTAAGTGCCATGCTACAAGCCTCTTAGGCACAGTTCTCTGTCTGTCTTGGCTTGGCTCTCTCTCTCGCTCTCTCTTGGCGAATATTAATTTAAGCACATAAAACATATACACGCCGCATGGCCAGACAGTCACAGACGTAGACGTAGACGTAGACGTCGACATAGACCCAACCCCCGGACGTTGGAGCTTAGAGCGGCCGCCTAGGCACTTGGTCATGTAAATGTCTGCACTTGTCGCAGTCCGTGTAAGTGTCAGTGGGACGAGACTATTATCTGATTTCTTGACTTGTACTTGCTTTTATCTGGCGAACGGGTGAAGAGCACTTAATGCAATCCCTCTCGCTGCCATCCCGGCCACGCAACGCCCCCGATGCCCCCGACGGCGACCTGTTAGTGCCAGTTATGGTCGGGCATGGGCCGAGCAACAAGTGCGCGTGAAGTGCCTTAACGAGGCCAATTTGTTAGATTGCCGCTCAAATGATACACAAACATTTAAATATTAACTCCCATCTCTCAGCTGAGCAGCAAATCTGCTGAGCATTTGGTTTTATGGACAGAAAACAATTGCTTTATTTGAAGAGACTTGTTAGTTCTCTTTATTTATATTGAGAAGAGTGGTGAGAGAGAGAGAGAGACGTGGAGAGAGAGGTATTTTTCGTCTAGCTTAGGCTCTAAGCCTAAAGTACTAGATAGCTTTGTGCAAAAGTAGGTAACAGAAGTTGGCATCTTTGAGCCCATCCGAGTAGATCTAACCATGTCCGACTCTCTGGCTATCCACGTTAATGACACGCTCTCGGGAACTACAAAAGATAGCTTCTTAATATTCGAAATATATATATATAAGCTGATCAACGTATTAATTTCTTTTACAAGCTCCCTCACATTTTTATAATATCGATAAATATCGATATCGGGAATAGGTTATTCAAGCCTAACTCGAGAATTCTAAGTGCTATATAGATCAAACTTGGTTTGTAGGTCTTTGTATGTATTATAAAGCTTTTAGATGTTTCACTTTTTGCATAGCTCCCCCAGCCCCCTTTCTAAATGGAAAGAGGGGCCTGGTCTGCCGCTTTGGCATGTGCATATTTGAGCTCTGACATTTTAACAAGAATCGAACTAAAAATATCGAAGTTTATCAAGAATGCATTTCAGATATGTGTGTGTGTGTGTGTGTGTGTGTGTATGTATGTATGTATCTAGGTAAAGACTGAAGCTAGAAAACGGAAGAAAGTATCACGAAAGTATTTCCTAATTGTTATCATTGTTTAACTGGGAACTCGACTCGGAACTCCTTGTTAGAAATCAGCGCTGCACAGAAAATTGCATTAATATTTGCTTAAAGAATTCTATTTATTTAATTGATATTACTGTTGCTAGCGAATTTCGGAAAATGCATACGCAATCTAATGCTAGCCTTGACATGAAACCACAATCAAAGCAGGCATTAAAATGCTTTGAAATTTCTTAGAATATTTTCGCAATATTCTCGACAGGTCTTAAAAGTCTTAAATCTGTGTTCTGTGAAACTGGAACCGCATTCATTTGGTCTTTCTGTCTAAGGGAGCTTTGGCTTTGCACAACATTTTCAACATTTTAAGCGTACATATCTCAAAATTGTTTCGCCCGGCTGCCAAACGGTTCGCCTCAGTTTGTTTGGCTTAAAAGTTGTTTTCGGCTATTGTGCTGTCGGGTACTAAGCCGAGGCGAGAAGCCGCAGTTGTTACCAAAGTTGCGAAGAGCAACAAACTGCGTCGTCGCCGCCAAATTGCATTCAACAATAACAAAATATATGTGCGAATGCACCAGGCGAGTGCGAGCGACTAGCAGATACCCTGTAGCCAGGCTTTAAACTCTGCTCTCGCTGCTCTCAGCCTCAATGCCAAGGAAGAGTGAAAATTGATTTTCAAATAACTTCAGGTTTTAGTCGGCATTCATTAGGTCCCTCTGTATACACGTATTTACTAGCAGAAATTACCCGGCGTTGCTCGTCTCAAATGTAATACCTTGCAAATTCATGTTGTACTTAAATTTGTTTTGACAAAGCTGCTCAGTGATTAAATCTGGGCTCGTAGATGTCTTCTGCTGTCTGTTACATATCTTAACCTAATTTCAATATACCCCTTTTAAACATTTTAAATGCGTACAGGGTATAAAAGCAATGTAAAACCGATTGCAAACGGAACAACAACAGTAATTCGCAAACTAAAAGAGCAACAAAGCAACTTTCGAACCCAAACTCTCTCGAGGATGTTTACACCAGCTACGCACACACACACACACACTCATACTCACAGGGTATGTGTATGTGTGAGCCAAGTTGGCTGTGCGCAATTTAAGCGAAAATGTTAACATCTTGTTGACGGAAATAGGCACAATTTGAGTAGACAAGCGACGAAACAACAGCTGCCCCGCTTTGCGGCATGTGGCCTGTGGCATGTGGCATGCGGCATGCGGCAAGTGAGTGTGGTTACGCCTAAGTAGCCAGACCTATAGCACCGTGCCAGAAAAACAAATGAGTTAGCTGTGTGTGGTTTACAGCCAGGCCATAAAGCGGAGCAGATGAAAAATGTCGCCAATAAACGGAAGCAGCTAACTGCTTTTTACAGGGTATTATGAATGTGTCAGAAAGAAAGAAATTCATGTACCTATAAATGTACGTTAATAAGTAAGCCAAGGCAAGACTTAAAATAGTTTAAGTAAATGATGCTGCGCACAGCTTCGCTCTACTTAAATATAAAGCGCCCATCGGAACCATCTGGACGTAGGACATAGACATTAAGAACACGTTAGAATAATCTTCAACTCTTCGATAAACTCTAGCTATTTAGTTGGTGGCTTTACTTACCATGATGGCGGTATAAAATGTTAAACACAATATCACCCAGTCCCAAATCGCTTTAAATGCACAATAATGCAAGAGTATGTGTGGGGGCGTCTTTGGCGCTTCCTGTCTGTACTGTGGCATAATATCCGCGCTCAGTGACATCATCTGCAAAAGTTATGTTAAGCGAGCCATGTATAAGTCTAAGTTATATTCTAGCGGGTATTACCCGATTTGGCCCGGGCTAAAGATATTTTCACCAAAACTGTGACCGTTTCCATCCGTTTCTCGCAAGTGGGGAGAATACAAAATGAATTTTAAGAGCATTTTTTCGTGTCTTTTGAACCGAAATTTAATTTGCGCTCATACTACTTTTATGCCATGTATTTTCCACCAAGAAAGGTGGATTTTGAAAACATTTAGAACCTGGATAGGTAAATGCGTGCGTTTTTCGCTAGTTTTTCACGGCTGCGGGTGGAATTTATAGAACCGCAATCATTTTCTATGCAGAGCTTTGCGAGTTTGAACTAAAAGCGGATCGGACGACAATTGAAATTGTTCGAAACACACTTCAAGTGATTTTTTATATATGAAAATAAGTTTCAAGCAGTTCGGACGTAGGTAAAAAGGTTTCACACAAGCGTTTCACACCAATTTTCCACTGGCACGGGTGGAATTTGTTTCACTTGGACACTAGACGAGATAATTACAGTTTTCTAGCTTTTATGACATGCCAGTCAGGGCAATATATGTATATACATTATGGAAGATGTTGAGATCGTTTAGAACTTACGTGCGCCAGATTCGACTGCTTCGTTGGATCCTTGAGCGTGGGCAAATGGGCGCTGAACTGGCGGCTGCGTGTGACGGATCGCGCCAGTTTGGCGAATTTGGAGAGACCTAAAACTGGAAGGAATAGATTAACTGCTACGATATGGACAGACACGCACAGGCCAAAGACAACAGAGAAACAAGCAAAAAATAGACAGAGACAGAAAGAGAGAGAGAGAGAAAGATAAATAATAAAGTAAATGGCAAACGATACACAGAGACGAGACGAGCGATAAATCGAAAAAAGCGATTGATGAACGAAAAATGCAAAATCATCAAGAATATATACAGACATTCGACATATACATAAAGTACATCGGTTCAGTTCATATATATGTATGCATACATATGCATATATAGTATTATATACAAATATTGTACAATGCGTAAGCGTGTGTGCGTGTGTGCAGTTTTTGGATATCGGGATAAATGTGGGAGAAACAGAGACAAAAGAGAAAAAAGAGAATAAAAGAGTAGAGTGATGTACATTTTGGTAAAAGATTGAGATTGAGAGAGAGAGAGACAGAGAGACAAAGAGCGCAAATTGTAACAAAGGGTGCATGCGCGCGCGCGACAGAGAGAGAGAGAGAGCGAGTGCAGGGGTGTGCAGGGGAGTGTGTATGTGTGTGTGTGTGTGTGTGTGTGTGTGTGTGTGTGCAGTGCATAGTGTAGTGTATAACCAATTCGTTGAGCTGATTTTAAACAAATTTTCAAATTGTGTGTGGCATTTGGCTTGGCTGGCAATATATATATATATATAAGGGCGGTGTGTAGAGCGATTGTGCGGGGGTAACGGGGTGCCGGACCATAGAGCTGGATGTACTTACCACCTTTGGTATCCTCGCTGTCGATGGGCTGTTTCAGTGCCGTTATATCCCGAAACGTCAATAGGAATAGCACAACCAAATCCCTTTCGTTGCGTATGGGCGCCACCTGAAGCAGCAGCCATAGCGGCGTTTCTGAGACAGTCAAGAGGGAGAGAGAGAGAGAAAGAGAGAGAGAGAGACGAGAGGGGAAAGAGAAGTCATTAGTGAGTGTACAAATATTCGGCTTAATAACTCTCAAATAAACCTTTCCCTTGGAAGCATTTCCAACATATTCGTGTATTCAAGTTAAGAAAAGTCCTGAGTATATTTCGAGTACAATCTAGCTCTGTTAAGTATATAAATAAACCACAAAATGAGAAAGTCAGGATATCTACAGCACATTAGATCTTCTAATACCCTTGCAGACATTTATCTTAAGGTTGCAGATGTTGACCGAAGGCTGAAGCTCGTAAATGAAAATATCTTTGAAAACAGAATATCTGCCATACAGAAACTCACTTATCGACCGATTCCTCCTATTGTGCTATATATATAGTATATTTGATATACTATATTTGAAAATGATTTTAAATATAAATCATATAAACATAGGTCAACATTTTCCACGAAATTTCCCAAATTTCCCAAAAACTAAAGACAAGAATAATGTTGTCCGATTTATATCCCAAGTTTATCTAGAGGTCAAGCCATGAGCAAAGAGCCAAACCTCGTGAAAATGGGAGAATTTGGGAAATTTTGTGGGAAATTTTGACCTATGTTTATATAGGATTTTTGAGGTTACGATTTTCACATGAATTTTGACCAAAAATAATGTTGCCGGATTTAGATCCCAAATTGATCTAGAGGTCAAATAATGCAGAGAAATCCAAACCTCGGTAAAATCGTATGAGATATGACCGAGTCAAGGGGTCGGGAAATTTCGACTGATTTAGGATATTTGAGTTTACGATTTTCACATGAATTGTGAGCAAGAATAATGTTCCCTGATTTAAGTGCCAAATTCATCTAGAGTTCAAAGCATGAAATGCTCTGCCTTAAAACTTTGCTTACGATCAATTTTTGATGTTAAATAAAATGCTTTTAATTTGCTCGCAATGCAAAAATCCTAACACGCCAAACTATTCAAATTATAAACGTATTGAAAACAAAGGCATGTAAATGAACAGATGCTTGGGCAAAATGTTGACTAACTTTGAACAATTGTTGCAATTGTTGCAATTGTTGCAATTGTTGCAATATTTGCTTAATGTTATTTATTGACAGTTATCAGAAAGTTGCGAATTAATGTGAAATTTAAGCAATTATTTAGGGCAAGTGCTGCAATACACAGAACGATAATCGAATTGCAGTCGAATGCATTGAGGTCACAATAGACACACAGAGACGGAAACGGAAAGGGAGAGTGAGAGGGCGGTAGTGAGAGAGGGGCAGGGGCACGAACGTGCTCAGTTTGGCATTGCAATTACGGATATTACGCGCGCGAGGCTCAAAGAATTGTTAAAACGAAAGTGTGCAAGTTTAAATTAAATGCACATATGTGTGCGTGTGTGTGTGTGTGTGTGTGTGTGTGTGTGTGTGTGCGTGCGTGTTCGTGTGTCTGTGTGTCCAATCAACAATAATTGCAATTCAATTTGCATTTGCAGCGCTGACCCACACGGCGTATGCGCAATTGTTCTGCTGTCATTGTGTTGATAGAGCTCAGCGAGGGGCGAGTGCAAGGGTAAAGGGGCGATTGAGGAGGGGGCTTGCTGGCACGTGCCTGCTATGCGGGCGGCATATTAATAGCATAATTATTGGCTAATTTTATGCACAGTTTGCTGTTAACATTTCCGCTGTCACTTCCGTTTCCGTTTAAAGCTTAAAGAGCGCGGAGCTCTATATATATAAATATATATATACATATACATATATATATATATATATATATATATCTGTGCAGCTATGCATGTATGTGTATAATTTTTTATTCGACAGCAATCAGCCAAACAAGACAACCATAAACTTATCCACGGCGCCCCAGAGACACCTGTCAGCCAATTCAATTTGTTCGCATATCGAATTGCCGCCACATGGCAGCGCGCCTCCTTTTGTGGCAACTTTTCAAAGTGCTACGTGCCACACACATATACCACGATTATGCCGGCAATAGGTAAGAGAAGGCGGCCAAACAAAAATAATATATATAAAATGTTGTAAACGTGGGAGCAAACGAATAGCTAATGGCAATGAAAAACGAAGCCAGAAAGAAATGCGCAAAACCGAACTTTAAATACGCTTGGCGTCAAATAAGAGCTGCTCCTTTGATCGGTTGGCCTATTGTCTATAGTATAGCATAGTGTAGTGTAGTGTATAGTATAGCAATACGATATGATGCGGTTGAGGTAACTTGAGAAAGTCAGACAAGAGCTTAACCTTAACTCGAACTGAACCTTAACCTTAACCTTAACCCCAACTGTCTATACCTCTGGTAGCTTTATGATATAGTGCTTCGATCCGGCTGGTTTCGACATAATTACTTGCCTGCTCAGAAAGAGGAATCTGTGCAAAATCTGATGAGGATAGCTTTATAGCTATATCAACTCAAGCCATCAACTCAAGCTATCAACTATATATGTATATGAATATATATCTACTTTATGGGCTCGGATACATATATCTCTAAGCGTCACACATTTCCTGACAAACGTATAAGACCCCTTCTGAAAGAAAAAGAAAAGCGACCAAATGTGCTTTGCTCAGCTTCGATGGAGCACTTTTCTTTTCGATGGCCCGCTCTAATATTTTACAAGTAGCTGCATTTACTTTTGATATGTTTATCCTAATAATCATAATAATGTTTGATAATCGACCGTAATTATATGCACGTCCTTGACCGTTCTCACTCAATTCATTTAATGCATTCAATTAAATTTTCAATTTTCCACAAATTTTCCATCGCATACAATTTGCGGCGTACGGAAACTATTAAATATTAATTTTTAGACAAGCCCACAAATATGTTTGCCATCAAATATTAATTGGAATTACACGAAATTGGAATTAAAATTGATATATTCCGACTGCCTATGGGCTCGCGTCGCACTTGAAATACCCTTGCCATAATGCATGAGCTGTGTATATTAGATAGTTTATGGATTGTTAAGTTTTTTCTCAAATGTTTAAATGGCTAATATAGCTATTCAAAGTCTTTGCCTCTTTTCCATCTAAAAAACTGTTAAACAAATTCACGCTATAACGGGCATTTTTATTTAAATCCACGCGCAAGCGTGGAAAATGGTTGGAATTAGTTTAAATGGCTGCCATATCTAAAGTTTGTAAATATTTACAATTCTTGTATAGTTTTCCCTGTCTACAGCTGTAATTGTAATAGAAATCTATGCTAAGGTGGCGTTCTTTTCATTCCACGCGCAATCCACGAAAATTGGCGGAAAATGTTTGTATAAAGCGATTGGCTTCTAAAACGCATAGAAAGTTAAGGTTTTTATCACCTAGCTCATTATACCCCGAACCCATTAAAAATGGGTATAAGGGTATATTGTATTTGTAAAGTAAAGTAAAGTAAAGTACATATATTCTGATGCTGATCAACACCAATAGCCGAGTTGATCTAGCCATGTCCGTCTGTCTGTCCGTCCGTCCGTCAAAGATTTGATAGGTCAACATTTAAGACATGTCTCAAACTTAGCATAAAAAACTTATCACGGGCAAGACCGGGTAATTTCCGATAGCATTAAATATAATTTGAGATAACATAAATCAGCCGTATATCATTTAAACGGAGATATTTAATTCTTTCAGGCTGCCCTCAAAAGTAGGCTACAAATTAAAAAACAAGGCCAAAGCTGTGTTTAGTTTGCCTTTAAGAATAAATTGATAGGGACTTGAAAATATTTGGCTTAAAGGCATTCGTTTTTCCTGTCCTTCTTTTAATTACTCCATTTATAATTTTGCTGTGTAGCCTTTTTATGAAGCGTGCCTCAATTTGATTAGCCGTAGCATATTAGTTAATCGAAGTTTGAGACTCTTTTGATTTGGTCGCTTGCATAATGCATAACAATCGATTGGTGTGTTGATACATACGCACACGCACACGCTCATAAACACACACACGCACGCGTACACCATATTGCAATTGATTTATGCATATTTTATGATGATGCCCTCCAGTTGCCAGTTCCTAACATTGCCAATAAATACAAACAGAAGGCGACTGTGCGGCGGGATGCTGCCAGGCCAGCTGCACAATCACTCTTCGATACATATATACATTCGATATACGATAACTAGATGAGTGCTTTGGTTGTACCTTGGGTTTGTGCCTTGCCAAACTGCGAGAGGGCGCAGCCACATTGTATATCTGTAAATTGATACCCGAAGGCGTTAATCCATTATAATTGCGAGTTCAAATTGGGAAACGAGCGAGCTTCAACTAGCAACAGTTTCACATACAACAGCTGACTTCTAGGTGTCTGGCGGGGTAAGCAGAGAGTGGTCTTAACGGAGAGGGGGGCGGGGCAGTTGGGGTTTCGGCGAGGTGGTCTGCTTGATTGATGGGCGCCACTCAAAAATTGTTGCGCCACCTCAACTTGTTTGCATTAAAGAGCTGGCACGGAGAAACAAAAAACAGCAGCTGCCAGAAAAACAGACGCAGCCAACAAATAAAAAGCGGGTAACGAATATAAAGTAGCGAGTGGCAAGCGGCGAGTGGCGAGTTGAGGGAGTTGTTGAAGTGTGAGCGGGATTAGAGTGGCATGAAATGCATGAATATATAAACAAATATGTGTATCTGTGTGTGTATATTTCTGTTTATGTGTATGTGTGTGTAAAGAAGCGAGTAACAAGTGGCGAGTGGCGAGTGGCAAGTGACGAGTGGCAAGCGGCGAGTTGAGGAAGTTGAAGAGTGACTAGGATTAGAATGGGATTAGAGTGAATTATATATGAATATATATACATATGTGTGTGTGTAAGTGCATATATCTGTCTAAATGTATGTGTGTGGAAAGGGCGAGTAGCGAGTAACGAGTAACAAGATTGAGTGGGATTAGGGTGGCATGAAATATATGAGTACACATACATATATGTGTATCTGTCTGTGTGTGTGTGTGTGTCCGTCTATGTGTATGTGTGCGTGTGAAGGGGCGACCGCACACAAAGTGCAACAATTTATTATGGAGTAAGGGACGCAACATAAATCTAAATCGTCCTTCAACCCATCCCCCACAACGGGTTTGTTTTTTGAGTAGGGCAATTATGTATATATTTCAGGGCACGTGTCTACACCTTGATACCGCGGCCAATTAAACATAGTCTAGCTTACGTTTTGGCTTAAATAGCTACAATACAGGTAATTTTTTAATTAGCCATTTATAGCTGCAGCTACAGAGAGGGAGAAATGGAGAGAGAGAGAGAGAGAGAGAGAGATAAATGCGCATACACTCAGAGAAAATATCAATTTTCTTGGTTTAAGTATTAGTTTTTGAATGTGGACAATTATTAATACAAAAACTAGAAGAATGAGAGAAGACTTAAGACTTGTAGAGATTCGCCTCAAGGCTTTGCAGATGTTGTGAGACGGCTGAAGCTCGTAAATGTTGAGTTTGCTCAAAACATCTTGGAAAACATAATATTTTGCCATACAAAAACTCACTTATCGACCGATTTCTTCTATATAATATAGTAGTGTGATCTTGAGAAGATATGCCTTATACAAAGGCAGCCTTGTTTAGAACTTAGTTCTGGAGCGATTGTTCCTATGGCAGCTTTATGGTTCCGATGTAACAGAAAGACATTGCTGCTGTTGTAGAATATATATATATACTTTCTGAGGTTGGACATCTCTCCTTCTATGCGTTACACATTTCATGACAAAATGTTAATACCCTGTCGAATCGAACTAAGTTTCTGGCGTGGGATTTTGTTTGCACGAAACAAGGTCTTGGTTCATATTGTCATCTTACTTGAAATTAGAAGCTCGCATCGATTCGCTTTCGGTCTGGAATGGAGATACTTTCGTGCTGTCCTGTATTTGATATAAATTGTTTACTCTGATCTCTCTCGGAATATTGAGCGACACAATTAGGAATGATTTCCAACAAGTACAATTGTGATTTCTATGCCAATGAGGCTTTTCTCTGAGTGTATGTTCTATTGGGTAATCGCTGTAATAGTTGTTATTTAATATATATATACTCACTGTTCTTTTTGTAGAGCAATATTTCGAATTGATCCTGCTGCTGATTCTCGAGCGTATACTCCAGCCGTCCCACCGTCTCTTTGTCTGTCAACTCGCCGTACATGAAGCCGCATCTGTTTTGAGAAATCGGGGAATACACAAGAGCAGAATATCGCACATATACGAGGTATTATTCTTGATTAGTTTTAGTCAGCTGGGAGCAGTACATAAAGCACGCACACAGATTTAATTATTATACTAATTAATTATAATTAATGTGATTCATCTAATTAGAGCATGCTGAGAACATGCTGTGAAATTAAGGTAGCGCAAGTGGCAGACGCAGCAGCAAACATCTTCTTACCTGAAAGCTGGCTAGAAACTGGCTCAGAATTCTGAGAGCTCTAGCTCTTGACTTTCTTTCACAAATGTTCAATTCAAATTTGTGCCCAAAAGTTGTTCTACTTCTTAATTGGCTAAAAGTCTAGAGTAACGTGAATGCAGCCTGAAACGGGCTTCAGTTTTATAAACTTTTGTTTCTAGGCCATATTCAGTCGAATTCATGTTAATAATATATTTATATATATTTTTTGGTAAAATGTGCACTAATTAATTGATTTTATATTAATTAGTTTCTGACGCTCGAAATGATTGTCCCAGGGCTATATGTTAGATATAATAGACCCATTAGATAGATAAATTCCTAGAAATTATTAATCCGACTCAATTGAGTTATGCGAAAATTATTCGCTGCCTTTTTCTGGGAACTATAAGGGATTATTATTTCATGTACATTTCGCAGAGTTTGTTGGGTTCAAATGTATCTCTAGTTGTTATTTCTGGTTCAATATCCATTTGGTTTATTTTGCCCACTTTTTTATACCCTGAACCCATTAAAAATGGGTATAAGGGTATATTGTATTTGTGCAAAATCCAAATGTATGTAACAGGCAGAAGGAAGCAACTCCGACCCCTTAAAGTATATATATTCTTGATCAGCACCAATAGCCAAGTCGATCTAGCCATGTCCGTCCGTCTGTCCGTCTGTCCGTCTGTCCGTCCGTCCGTCCGTCCGTCCGTCCGTATGTATGAACGCAAGGATCTCAGAACCTATAAGAGCTAAAGACTTGAATCTTAGATGAATATGCTCCTAGTCCCCGCGCAGATTGAGTTTGTTTCCGATAATCTATAACTTGTTCCGTTTCCAAGCAATCGATAAAAATCGATATCGATATCGATTTGGGCAATTTTGGTAAATAATAAGAGCTAGAGTCACCAAACTTGACATATAGCTTCTAAAATAGAATATATATATGCATTTGATGTTGGATGAAGAGGGTTCAGGGTATCCCCTAGTCGGGAGCTGCCTACTAGAACCTCTTACTTGTTTTCTTCTTTCCTTCAATTTGTTTTACATGCAACCGAAAAACGGATATACAATATTGTATTTGAGTAAGTTTTGCAAATTTCTATTCAAATATTTGGTTAAAAATGTTTATATAAGGGAATACACGATATACTCTATTTGATTGAGCTACAGCGAGAAACTACATTTCATATTTCCCATCTATTTGTGCTTTGTTTAGATAGGGCACAATGATGGGGCGAGGGGAGTGGGCGGGGGGGGGGGGGGGGGGGGGGGGGGGGTGGTCGCATTCACAATTGTTTTATTTAAATTGCCAGAAATCTATCTTTATTGACTCGCAGCTTTAAATTGAGCGTAGAGTAGACTCTGGCTAAAGTGGTTTTCCACTTTGAAATAGAATACAATTCTCAGAAATCTTTTCGCCGTGTTTTTTTTTTTTGCAAATTTGCAAAGAGTTGGCTTGAGATAATAAATACGAGATTCCCAGAAATCTCGCTCTTTTATCTAATAAATGAGTTAACGCAAGCTGCAGCATATTCCTTTGCCTTTGCATTCGAAGGAGATATATGTAGATATATTCATGGTTGACACTCCTGTGCTGTAAGGTCAGGTAATATGCTAAATTTGCCTGCCTCTGGCCACGGTGGCGGCCATTTATTTTGGCCAAGTTGACACCGAATGGCCGTCGAGCACGAGCGATGATAGAAATTACCATATCGTATGGCACATCTTCTAAGCTGATGGCTAGCCACTACGGTCTGGCGGCCCACTGCTGCAGCTGATGCTATCACATGCGCTGGCAAAAATACTGAAAAATAGCTTGAAAACGAAGTGGAAGAGGAACGCCAAATAGCAAGTGAAATGAAAAATAGAAAACCGTTGCCAAGGCAGCGCACGTGCTGAGCTACAAGCAAAAAAAAAAGAAAAACAGAGTGGTAAAAAAAGTGTTGCATGCTTTTAGGGCGCGCTCAAAAATATGCAAAAATGGCCAAGCGCTCAGCGTGCGAGCGAGCAGCTAAATGACATAGTGAAGGAGCGAGCGAGCGAGCGAGCGGGCGAGAGACACGGTCGATTGGTGCGGTCGGGCGGGTGGTAGGGGCGACAGGGGCAGAGTGCGCAAATTGCAATGACGTCAGCAGCCAGCAATGGGTGAAGGCGAATTCGAATGCGAGTGCAAAAGGAGACACAATAAAAACTGTTAATTTGTATTTGGCGCTGCCGCTGCCGCTGCCGCCGTCGCTGTCGCCGTCGCCGTCGCTGTTGATGTTTCTGTTTCTGTTGCTGCTGCTGCTGTCATTGCATTTAGACGAATGCTGTTTATGTGCATGCATCTGTGTGCGTGTGTGTGTGCGTGTGTTTATGTGTGCACATGTATTTATTTATGCCATGACAAAGGTTCAACAAACTGAGACGGCGGCGGCGACGCTGGCGTCGGTTAAGTCGCCCAGCGACGTCACGAATAGAAACGCAAAGCGACTCATTTCCTCTTCGCCGGCCATTTTGTGCAATGAACTGTTTTGCTGCAGTAGATATCAATGCACGTGTGTGTGTGTGTGTGTGAGGGAGACAGGCACAGAATTGGGTTAGAAGGCAGGCAACACAAAGGCCCAAACAGGTTAAAGGGAAGCATTGGCCAAGGTTCCGCTTTATAAACTCTAAACTAACAGCAGAGCAGGCAAGGGGCAGGGGCAGGGGCAGGAGCGAGAGGTTTGGAGTTAAAAGGCGCCACAAACTGGCAAATTGAAAGAAAGTGCGCGCAGTTAAGCAAACAGCAATAAACAAACAAACAAACAAACAGAAAGAGATAGACAGAGAGTGCAAGAGAGGGAAAGAGAGAGCGAGAGAGAGAGAGGGCAGCAAATAAAAGGATTTTCTTTTTTGGTCAACCTTTTGCTTGGATTCTCTTTTAGCGCGCGGTCACACACAGACACACAGACACACACACACACACACTGCAGCAAAGTAGGTCAAAGCGCAACAATAAATAACTGACACACACACACACGTACATACTCTAGAGTAACAGAGATGAAGGGCGAGAGGCAGGAGAGGGGCAAGATAGCGCAGTCAGCTAAACGCCTAGATTGGCATTACAAAAGTTTGGCTTGTCCGAGGAAAGAAAAAAAAAATTAAAAAAAAAAACCAGCCAGTAACGGGGCGGGGGTGGGAGGTGGTGGGTCGCTGGGGACATGGGGCAGGGATTGCTGGTCTGGCACTGCATACGCTTCCATTTTATTTTGTTGGCTTGTTTTTTGGCTAGGCCAACCGCTGTGGCAATTTTCGCTTACAAATTATAAAGAATTCGCTGGAGAATTTCACATTGTGCGCAACTTTACAGTTTTGCAGGCACTTGGGTCATGCAACAGTCGCCCGTCGACCCCCCCTGTTTCTTACATTTTTCAAGCTAATTTGCCAGCTGATTTGCAACATAAAAGATATAAAGTAAATGTATCGAAAAATCGCCTGCGGCACAATTTCGGCTTTGGGCTTTGCTACCTCTACAAACAATTTGTGTTCATTACACAAAAGTTTGCACACAGCCAGTAAAAGTACATTGAAGCCAACCGCATTTTCTTTGCGTTCTCTTTATGCCCCGAACCCATTGAAAAACGGGCTATCAAGGGCATAGCAGGCTTTTGTCAATTGTTTGTAACAGGCAGAAGGAGGCGTCTGTGACTTCGTAAAGTAAATAAATGCTTGCTTTCGGCATCAATAGACGAGACGAACTAGTTATGTCTGTCTGTCTCTATTTGTGAATTATCGATTTGTCGGAGACTAGAGAACATTTTAAAGAAAATCTAGAGGAAATTGTAAATGATCGATAGATCGTTTGCATGGAATCTATAAATATCGATATTAAAATCCCATTTTTTCGGCATTTGTGACTTCATAAAGTCAATATTTTCTTGCTCTCAGCATCAAAAGACGAGACGAACTAGTTATCGATTTGTCGGAGACTCGAGAACATTTCAAAGAAAATCTAGAGGAAATTGTAAATTATCGATAGATCGTTTGCATGGAATCGATAAATATCGATATCGAAACTCTATATTTGAGCATATGGCTTATAGAAGCTCTTATGGAAATTTTCGACATCTTTACCCTCGTTATTCATAAAAACCCTAAATTTTACATTTCCCAAAAAGTGGGGTTAAGGTTAGAAGAAGCAAGCAGCCTGCGTGGAGCAAGGTGCAGGGTATCGTCTAGTCGGGCATTCTATTTTGTTATTTTTTTTTTTTTTTTGTTTTTAATTGTCCCGCATTCTCGCATGCAGCAACCAGTGAATATCGCCCGGCGGAAGAGCACAGTTAGCCGGAACTGCGGCGTTTTGGCCTTTAATGCCTACTTAATGCCCTGATAAATGGACTCGGGGGCTACAAACTGGCCGTGAACCAGCTGTCTGCTGACTTTTGACTGAAATCTTTCCTTCCTTTCATAGTGCGCTGTCACTGTCAATCCGCTTGCTTGTCAGCCATAAAATGAGCACAAGTGTGTTTATAGTTGAAGCAGGAGGACATTTTTAGAGCCAGTGTTAAGTAAGTGCGCAAAGGGTCGAGCTTAAGTGTTCGAATAAATTAAAGCAGTTTTTTTCCTGTAACAAATTACGAAAGAAAAACACAGTTGAAACTATCAAGAGTACGAAATGAATCTGGGCAACTTTTTAGTTAGGGTAGAAAATAGGGCAGAAATAGTTTAATAGTGTTGGAAAAGGGTTTCGAAACACAAAAGATCAGCTAAAAAAAGATTCTAGATTGTAACTATAAAGCGAACATTTTATAGATTAATCTAAATTTCATATGTTTAAATACTGCAAATGCAAAATGTATCTAAGGGAGTAAAAAGCTAGACATGCCATATAAAAACCAAGCAAAAAGAAAGCTATATAGCTATATATCTAAGGGGTTGCAATATATAGTAAGAGCATAATCTCAGATGAGAAACACTCTGATTTGCTGTGAATATGAGAAAGAGACAGATGAATAGATAGACAGAGAGAGAGAGAGAGAGAGAGCGCTGGGCAGCTGTTGAGCGCAATAACTGCGTGGAATACAATACTTAGGCTAGCCAGATACATATATGGATATATGTATGTATATATAGAGATAAATAACATTTAGCGAGAGAGCGCAACAGAGCGAGTGAATATAAATCGGCAATACGTACACATACCTGCACGACTTCTGCATGACCTCGGCTCGGTTGTAGCCGCTAATCTTGCAGAAGGACTCATTGCAGTAGACGATCGGAAAATCGACGATTTGTGCGTTGGCCAATAGAAACGAGCTGTCCGCTGTAAAGAGATCAAGAGAAAAGAAAAGAGAGAGAGAGAGAGTGAGAACCGATTTGAGATTGATTCGTTTTCTTGTTGAATATTAGTTATATTTCTATCGAGAACTTACCTTTGTCTTACTTGTAAGACAAGTTCGCAATAGACTTATATCAGATACCTATAGTTGGGGCCTACGACTTGACAGAAGTATATACATAGGTATATTTCCTTCCCTAGTCAGGAAATATTAAACTGTTTACCTGAATGAACGGATCTGTCCATACCAAGTGTTAGATTTCGATCTATATATGTATATATGTATATACGTAACCTATTTGTCTGCTCTGACTGATTGACCAGATTAAATAAAAGAAAAGATTTAATTGAAGACTACGCCACTTTTCAACACTACCCAGCACACTTACTTTCGATAATAATCGCTGATTATCGATAACTGTCGCTGGCACTGCTTTGCCGGTGTTGACATTGCGCCCACGCTTGAACGTGTCACTCCGTCAGTCGGTCTGTCCGTCTGTCAGCTTGTCATTTAGTTAGTGAAGCAACGCGCATCTATCAAAATATTTGCGCGTAATTGGAACATTTCAAATGTTGTCATTCATAATAAAATGCCATTTGATAGTGCAGCCCGCCTCACCCAATTCTCCCCTCGCCTCTCAGTGCTTCCTTCAGTCAGTCAACTAATGGCGGTTGCTATTGGCCCTGTTCTTGTTGTTGTTGCTGCTGTTGCTGTTGCTGTTGGCCGATTCGGGTGCAGGTAACGTGTTACAACGAACCGGGTACATGGAACATGTGTTCGTGAAAACCACGCGCTGGCATCGCATGGCTTTCAAAATGCCATTGCCTGACTTCATGTTTGCCTTTTCCGAAGGGGACCTTCTGGTTACTGTTGTTATTGCAAGTAATTGCTGTGGCACACGCACACACACACACACACTCTATTGTATGGAACTAGTTACTAGTTCCCAAGCTAAACATCGCTTTAATGTCGCAACTAGTTGGAGCTAGGACTCACATGCTGCATGAACTGAACTTAATTCATCAAAAATGTCAGCTTATGTTTGCTGAAACTTTCGCGTAGTTCCAATAGCGCAACAGCTTAAAAGTGATTCGGCTCTAACTCTTGTGGTTCATGAACAAAAATGATCATGACTAAGGAGCCTGTGTGGTTCCTTTTATAAAGCTTACATCGTGAGCTATGCAAATATATTTGCTACTTCTTTTAAGCTTAAACTGCTCCATCAGCTGTCAATTTTCAGCTATAACATTTACGCAGCTTATAAACTAGCTCGAGCTAGTGTGCGTGTGTGTCGGGAACTGGTTCTTTGGAACCAGCGCGCCGAACAAAATGAGCTGCCAAATCGACAGCAGTAGAATGCAATATCTTTCGACATGCGACAGTTCAAAATAAGTTGACGTTGATTATCTACTCTATTTTTACAAACACTATATTTTGAGTGGGCGTGGAAAGTGGGCTGGCGTGGGAGGGTGCGGGGAGGGGAGGGGGGAGTAGCGATTGCAGGTGGGCGCCAGCAGGTGCCGTGTGCGGTGAGATGCATGCCAAGCGGGCACAAAAGCAGCACAGTAACCCACATACAAATACATTCAACTATTTAGATGCACAATTCACGTGGCCGGCCAATGCACACGTGAGTGTGAGTGTGGGTGTGAGTGTGGGTGTGAGTGTGGGTGTGAGTGTGGGTGTGAGATTTAAAAAAATATGCACATGCAATCGCTGGCAGTCGGGAAATGGGCAAATGCATATTTATGCGCTAGACACATGCACACCCACACACACACACACACAACTACACACACAACCTCACACCTACACACACACAGAAATTACAAGAGCAAGAACAACATTTGCTACTTTACAGTGTCAACAGTTGCTGCACGGCCCGGCGCCATCGCCAATGCCTCCGCTTGCCACGCCCACCTGCGCTTTAACTTTGGATCCAAAACGTGGCCTGAATCTGGATGTCGAGTCCGACTAGAGATGAGCGCACAAGCACGACTTGACAGCAATTAAGGCAAGTAAATATTTCATATATATAATATATTTATTATTGGAAGGAAATTACCCTTTTGACCAAAAATTGGGAACTTATGTATTTTGATTATATTATTGGAACAGCGTGTCACGAGTTTAATTGCCAACTATCGAGCACGTGCCCATCGCTAATCGTAACGCTTCGCATTTCGAGTATGTTTGTTATTATAGTGGCACTCACTCACTTAAGCCTGTGGGTGTATCCGTGTTTCAGTGTGTGTGTGTGTGTGCGTGTGTGTGTGTTTGATTTTGCCATTATGTCAACGTCATGACATTTTACTGTATCAACTGCCACTTGCAGAGTGGACAAGGGAACCACCGATATGGGCACGCAGGCAGCCAGGCATACAGGCAGGTAGTCAGTCGGTGGCATAGCTGCATTGTACAACACTAACACGACACTGCAGTGTGCACTACACAACACTTGATGGCATTCAAAGCTGTTGGCTGGCAAAGTTTTGCAATTTGTGTTTGGGTCATTTGACAGACGCGATTTATTTTTAAGCCCGATGAGCCAGGCGCCACATCGAGCCAAGGGCCAAGTAGCCGAGTGGATGCCAAATGAGCCAAAGTGTCTCATAGTACATTCAAAGGGGCGGGCAATATAAGGTTGTTATGCATACAGATTGCGCGCATAAAATGCGCAGATTAGTTCGATTCGCATAAGCCAGAAAATAGTCTTTGTCTTTGTTCAGTTGTCTCTGTTCAGAGTTCGAAATAGTTCTAGTTAAGCGGCAGCTATAGCTCCTGTTGGCGTGGTAGGAATCCGATTTGCAGCCTTGATATAAACTTCGAACTTCATATGCTTATGAAAATGTGGAAAATAATAGACTATGCATATAAGTCTCAAATTCCATTTAAAATTCTTTCCACTTTCATAATTTGTTATGCATACTTAGTAATATGAAAATTCATTCAAATAAGCTACGCGTGATTTCGATTTTGAAAGTCGAGCAAAGAGAAGGGAAGGCAGAAATCGTGTGGAGAGTTTAGAAATATAAGTTCTGTTTGGGTTCGGGTTGAAGGCCTAAAGTAAATAAAACTAGTTCCATTCTTTTCACTCTATCGAAACGAAAGACGGGGTTTTTATAATCCAAACCATGTCGACTCAACGATCTCAGGAACTACAGGCGCTGCGGTCAGCAAATTTGTTATGTGGCCTGCTTTAGATAAAAATCAAATAAATTTCAGTTTTTCCATGGCTTTTAACAAAAAGTGTAGCTGTAAAACAAGTATGCTAAATGTTGAATTGGGCGAAAGAAGAATCGTTTGATAGAGAGTAGTTGGAGTCTCCTTTATGATCAACTATACATAAATATGAATCATTGCTTTGCTCTTTGCTCCTGTTGCACATTTGTGTTGACATGAATCAAATGCTGCATAAATGTCAGAAATAAGCCACAGTCAAAGCTCAGCCCGCAGTCAGTTGGTAATTAATGCGAATTTCATGTCACCACAAGCCAAAACGAAAAAAAAAAACGTGTACAAAATGGAGATAAATAAAGCTGCAAAATGCGAACAAAGAGCATTTTAATTATAATAAATTCAGCAGCAATTTAACAACTGGCCAGTGCAGAAGCTCTGGCAAGGATATGACAGGACTCGCACCGGGGCCAGGCATCGAAACCATGTGACAGCTCCAGTTGAAATGTCAGCCCTGCGACGCCGCGCATGATTGATGAGCTACTCTGCTTACTCTAGTATCCTCCCCTCCCACTCCGCGCCCTGTTCGAGGACTACACTTTAAGCAGGATGTTGGACGGACTGTGCGCGAGCTGGGACGGGGCGGGGCGGGGCTGTTGATTGATTCGACTTTGGTTTTGGATTTTGGTTTTTGTATTGGCTTTAGCTGGTCGTAAGTGGCCACTCGGCAGCAGAAGCACAACAAAACTAGTCCATTAACTAAATACTATATATGCAGCACACACACACACACACACACACACACACACACACACACACACACACACACACACACACACACACGAGCACACACGTGGTACTGTGTGTGCGGTTGCAAGTTGTTTGTTGTTGCATAAAACTTTCATTTCCGCATGGACGATGCTGCTGCTGCTGCTGCTGCTCGCCAGGATTTGTGCCTGCCTGACTGCATGCGCCTCCACTTCTGCTGCACCTACCCCTCCCGATTCCGCTCCCTTTCCCCCGCTACCCTGCCGCAGCAGCAGCTGCTGTTGCTGCCTGTTGAAGCCATTTTGTGTCATTATTTTCTGTGGTTTTACATTTTCCATCTTGTTGTCGTTTGCCTTTTGTTTCGTGCTTGCCACACCCACACACTCACACACATACCACACACTCACACACACAAATACCACACACACAGACAAAAGCTGGTTTTAATGACATTAGCGAGCGCTCGCCGTTTGTTGCCTTCTCTTTCTTGCCCCCACGGCGCGTGCCTTGCAATTATCCTTTATGCCACACACACACATGCACACACACTCACACACTTACACACTTACTTGCCACACATAAGTGGGCACTGACAATAGCTGGCTCCTGTTGTCCCTCCAGTCTCCCCCCCGTCCCCCCGTCGCCCCTCTATCTCCCTTGCAGCTGCAGCCGCCCCACGCTTTGTTTTTGTCCGCACGGTTGGCGATTAGGCCACAGATTGCCAGCTGGGCATGTCATTTAGTTGCGCTTTGTGCAGAGCCCCAAACCCCGCATTCCAGCCCCGCCACCTGCCACGCCCCATAGGCCACGTCTGATACACCTACACACGCTTTAGCTCTGGCCTCAGTTTGCACAGTCGAGTGCATAAATTTTATTGTCCGAATTGTAAAAAAAAATTGCAAACTAAGAATGCGCTAGTCGGGTGTGTCCGACCGTGGGATGCCCTTCTATGCGAGCTTAAATACATGCTTCTTCTTTCCCTCTCCCCAGACTATGCAAAATGCGCTTTTGCCTAACCTCGGTGCTTATTGTCCGATCT